ACAATGCGGCCTAGTTCTGGATTAGTTTTTGTTAAATAAACCATGACACAGTGTGTAGGATATAGGTTGTTATACATATGAGGTTTTATTTACCACATCATATTACCAAATATAAACACAAAACTTTTTCAATATTGTCCTGATAGCAACCTTAGGTGTGAACGTGGATATAATCTCTTTTTAATTGATAATCTTACAAACCGGTTTTACCATATACCATATACAGATGTGATATGTATGCTAATCATTACAACATGAAATAAAGGGATGAAAATAAAGAAATCTACTGGCACTTTAGGTAAATTATGGAAATTATGGACATTAAAAATGTTGGTCATAAGACCAAAAGATAAAGAAGTGGGACAAAAGTCAGGAAAAATACATTTGTTTCCGTTTTTGAAACTACCTTCCCCCCACTGTGTTTCTATTAAAAACTCTGTTAAAAGATGTGGCATTTTCTATCTATGCTAATAACCATTTATACAAAGTAGACAGCCAGCAGTGTAGCTGCAGAAAAATAAATGTATGATTTCATTTCTGGAGGTTTGTTGATGAGCAAATAAAAAACAAAACAAAAGAAAACATTAACCCTTTAGCAATTAATGGAGAGAACATAGAGTTAACATCCTTGCTCTGATAGTCCAGGAGAATTTGCTGAGAATCTCTGACTGCATGCTCATCTCTGGTAGCACCGACATGATTGACAGACGGTTGTGATGTCCCACACATCTAATTTCAGAGGTACAGGGTTGAGCTGCTGCTTTACCTTTACCAGATGGAGCTGTCAGCGTGCTGTCCTGACCGTGTCCAATGAGGAGCAGCTGCCATCTGTTCATCAAATAGGTTACAACTTTAGCCTGCGATTTCCACCACTGTGACGTTTTTATTTGTAGGGGGGAGGGCCCGGATGCAGATGTAGAGCTCAGTAGTTATGAAAGTACAAATGTCCTAGTGTCAGACATCAAAGGAAATCAGTATCAGATATCTGAAAGACAAATGACCTAAAGCAAAGCCACGATTTCCACGGTTAGGACAAAGAAAATACAAGAAGAGATAGAGCTAAAGGGATGGGACACTTATTATTAGCAAGATTAGAAAAATGCCTCCTTTACTCAACTTGCCTAAAGACAGCTAGAATGGGCTCCAGTAAGACCACAGTACACCTAAACTAATAACTGAGCTCATAGTTACATTCATAAGACTTAGGCTACAGAAGGGAAAATAACAAATACACAACTATTTCTCAACTTGAATCTGAATTCAATGCAAGTGAGAATACAGAGAATACTGCAGACGTCAGGAGAGGACAGGGCAGGCAATGAAAAAAAGGAAGACAAGACTAGATTAAGATGGGACATTTCTGTAGACAGGGAAACAACAGTTAGGCAAGTACAAGGAGAAAACAAACAATAAACTAATCTTTGTAAACACATCCTAACCTTGAGACCACGGCAGACTAAAGCTAATCCCTACAAATATCATGCAAAATTGATGACAACCAGCTTCCAAAAGCCTTTTATTCACTGCTTTTCCTTTTGGAGCAGTGAGTATCCAGCCAATGTGTCCTCTTTTGGCTGAAAACAACTCCCAAACGAGTGAACTGACCCAGAAGAGTGTAAGTGATAGCCGTGTTAAAAGCTGGACAACTGTTCTGGAAGCAATAAAAGGATCTCCTCTGCTTCCTCCTCGATGTCATTCAGGTTAGGATAGACCTGATGGAATAAACTGACTTTTTGTTTAAAGATTATTATGACCCACTCTTACTTCATGAGGTGGTCCCTCCACACAAATGTGTGCTGATAAGGCCCCACCTCATATGTGTGGTTTGAGCGCCAAGACGGCAGATTAGAATGACCTCACAGTGCATCTTCCCTCGATAAGATCTTTACTTTCCTCATTCTTCTGGACTCCTGGACCTGCTTGGTCACCAAGAAGTGACATAGTAGGACTCCACTAACCGTTCTCTCATTTTACATGTGAGCCCTCTGATGAGCATTTTTTGGTCACTTTTCAGTAAAAATGACCAATGAGCTGATAAAAATGTGCCAATTATATGAAGATATATTGGAAAAATTCATGCGCTCATAATTTAGTTTTGTTCAGGTCAGGGTCACGAGGGCAGCAATAAAAGCTCAGATGCACAATAGTTGGACACCATGTTTCCAAACCAAACTAAAAACTATATTCCCAGTGTATCTAGCCACACTTAAATGACTGAGCTCCTTAAAATTTAGAAAATGAGCACAGGCTTGGCACACACTTGGGAGAAAGCACATTTTCCACATTTTTTTGTTGTGTTTTTACAAATGTTACCATCATTAAATCCCTGCAACGTGTAATCAATTCTTCCCCAAAACAGCATTTCAGTGCAGTGGTGGTCTGCTCCACTCGTTCATTTAGCAATGTCTATAGCTCACATTTATCAAAAAACAATTTCTAATTTTACTCAACTGGAAACAAACCTAATTATAAAGCCTGACATGCAAAGGAATGCCTTTGCTATGGCTCTGCTTTAAATGTAGAATCTGGCCGTTAACTTTTATGACTTCTATCATCACAGTTGACTTCTTTGGAAGACATCACTCTGCAGCTTTCTGCCTAGCAGCATTTAGACTGTGTTATATGAGTGAAAGCTCAACCTAACCTAAATATAAAAGATTGCAAAAGTGTCAATGGTCATTTTTTAGTTTATTTTTTTAGTTTTGTTATTTGCAATTGATGCCTCCCGTGAATTTGAGATGGGTTACTAGGTTATTTCAAAATGAATGGGTGGTTATTCAAAAGCTGAACATTTTCAAGACCGCCAAAGATGGCACAGGCCACAGTTGGCATGTTAGATATTACAAAGGCTGTATTTGGGACCAACTTCAATTTCCTAAAGCCAACCAAAGCCAAGGTTTTTAATTAAGTTTTAGTATTCGCCTGACTTCCTTTTCAATAAATGAAAATTAATACATATAGTTCTCACTTTATTAAATGAAAAGATTTAACCCAGGGACCTGTATGTTTATTCACTGAGAGTTGCTTTACATTGATGCGAATATAAAATATAATATATAAATATCTCGAAAGATGTTTGAACTTCAGTATTTACTTGATAAGATATAGACTTTGTGCCTATATTCTGACCTTTGAGATACTTTCAGTCTGCATTGATTGGATATGGAAAGGACTTTCAGCACAAAACCATGCAGGGATTGAAGGTTTTCATTGGGTATGCTCCCAAGATAGTGACATGGACACGTTTAAATGTGTGTATTCTGTGCAGGGACATCAGAAAGAGATTGAAAAAAAATCCTCAAGGTCACCAGAAATGCACACACACACTGTGCTATCACACCTCCTCAGTAATGAAAGCTTCCTAAAAGAGAGAGCACACCTATGCTACAAAGGTGTGAAGTTTATAGCAGTCTAGTTTATAAGGATTTCAGACATCTTTTTGGAAGAATGTCCGCTAATGTCTGCCTTTCCATTAATCTAACAAGATTTCTTGGAAATGGTGTCACAGAATCTTATATTTTAAACACTGGAAAATAAAATAGGAATATAAATTAGCTGTTGTTTCTTTCTTTTTTTAAATTGCTAATATGCGTGGGCCGCATTCGGTAAACAAGTGCACATCTAATTAGTGGTGGGTATTTTTGGCACCAGCTCATTGGCAAAGTTTCTTTTTCACAATGTAATGAATACACAATATGTGGACTGGAAACAGAACATTTAAAATCATAAGAATGATATGCTGTGATGATCGGATTTTTTCTTGTATGTGAAATGAAGAAAGTGGTTTATACATTTATATATATATAAAGTATATATATATATATATATATATATATATATATAACAAATCCCAGCAGCCTTCCATTTAATCTCTTCAGTATGTAAGGCAGCATGAGCACTAAAATGTGCTGTGGGTATAGTTTATAGAGACTGTTGCAGAGGGGTTGTGATGGGGACAGACAAGCAAAGGGATGAGTGAGCATTTAGCAAATCTGTCCTTTTTTGCTCAGGATAACTCCCAAATGAGAGAACAGACCCTCAATGGTTGAAGTGATAGCTGTGGAAAAAATAGCTGGACACCTTTTCGAGATGAAAAATGCTTCCTCTTTTATGCAATTTAACTTAACATCCCTGATTTATTTAAAGGAATACAAAAGAGCTGTCCCAAATTTGTCAACATCATTGTTTTCGTACTACCCCGTTAATTTGGATTCATGGAGTTCAATCTGGACAATCTGGGGGACATAACACACATAAGTGTTCATGTTTAAATTTCTATGCTTGGATGAAACAACATGATTCGGACACTCAAGGATGACTGCATGACTAGAATTGATTTATTTTCATATATTTGCTCTAATTTGAAGTCAAATTTGAATCGATAGAAAATATGTTCGCAAGGGGGTGGGTAACCAAGCTCACTTTGTGTCATTTCTCTCTTTTTCTGTCCTGACTAACATTGATGATTTGAAAATATTAGAACAGAAGTCATACCTTATGTTTCTCTTGTGTGAAATAGTGTGCACAATGCGCCTCTGCAGCTGCTGTTCTACTAATGCAGTCAGTCACTGCAAAATGTCTTTTCCCAAACCCTCATGAATTCCTCACAAAGACTCTCCTTGACTTCATGATATATATTTTTTCAGATCAAGGGAGAAGTACAGGTATAGGAGAAGAATACAAGTATTTATTCTTTTTTTTTTTGTTTTAGCTATTCAATCATACCCAAGGTAATTTTTTCAATATAGCTCTGCAGTCACAGTGAATATACTGTAATAACACAGAGAAGGACAAAAAATAATTACGATGGTGGTAAAAGAAAAAAAGGGATCCACAGCAGTATCATAACAAATAAAATGACTGAGAATCCAATAATTTATGATGAATTATTTTACAAAAAGGCGGTTCTTTACAGACAAGTTGGTGACTTAAATAGTGGAAAGAAACTCTCATAATCAAGACACAAACAACCATTTTCTTAATGAAAACTATCCTTTTATTTCTGTTATGAATCACATCTTATTAACACAAACAAATACATATCAAACTAATCTACTGCTATGTGTATAAATGGACTTTTTCAATAAGAATGAGGGAGAATGGGATGCTGTGCAAATACAAAATACATAGATGTACAGTTACGGTAAAATGCCATTAGGATAGCCAACATTCATGCACATGAGCTGTTATCCTTGGGCTTACAGAACATACGGCACTGAATAAGGCATACAAACTGTCGCTGAAGTTCCAAAAAAATGTCATATCTTAGAGTACTAAGTTAAAGGCAGCGAGATTCTGATGGTTTGCTAAGTACTTTGACTTGGTACTTCAAGATATCCCTAACCACGATGGCTGAGATTATCCACAGACACTACAAAAGCCAAGTACATTAAATATCCAGGTGCATTATGGTTCACCACATTTCTCATTGTCTTGTACAAGGTCAAGAGCAAAACCTTTGAAAGGAAAAGTACAGAGACAAATTGAAAGCTAAATGCAGGCAGTGAAAAGCGGTACTAAATGAGCAGATCATGATGAATTAATGGCAAGAAAAGAATGGAAAGAAAACAATTAATGACCACAGTCAAAATGTGAATAAATTAGTCAGCGTGACTAACTGAAAGGGAAAACCATTATGAACATGAAATTCAAATTCTCGGAAAAGCTTTTATATAGAGTGGAAATGGAGCCTCAGAAATTTGTATTTGTTTGTAGGTGTCAAAAAGTATCATAATTCAGTCTTAAATTAGTTTGCAGTAGGTTTAAAAATCACTGAGTTTGTTTTACAAATAGTGGCTTCAATTATTTCAATGTTGTTTCCACTTTGATTAAGTATCTATTAACATTCCTAGTAAATTAATTAATTGATGGCAACAGGGCTAAATCAATGATACGGTTTAAATAAATTAACAGTTAAAATAAATTAATATGAATGTTCAGGCACAACCTGTAATTTTCATCTTCTCTTTTTTTAAAACTTTCATAGGATCTTTTTTTCTCCTTTAAGAGTCATCCTCCGTTTTAATTATGTGGAAAAGTGTGACATTAAACAGGACCTGGTGGCCGTTATTCCAGCCATAGAGGGCGCGATCCCGGGAATTGTAGTCCAACATAGACAAGTGAAAGTACTGGTTATGGAAGGGGATGTCTGTGTATTCGTACGTGGACGTTTTGGTGGAGTAGGCGTAGTACACCTTGGCGCCGGTCAGGTGCGAGTTGGTGATGTAGAGTGTTCCACATATCATAAACGACTCACCGGCATTCCTCTTTGAGTACTCTGTGTTCCACGTGTTTAAAATCTGGAGCGTGTCCGGGTTCAGCTGGCTGATGACGATGTTTCCCGCGTTCTGGTTGGTCGCGTACACCGCCCACAGTCCCAGCTCATCTGCCATCAGGTCGATGTCGGAAAAGCCTCCCCAGGTGTAGGGGTACACGTTATGGAAGCCTGCCGACTCCAGCGTCCTCTGTGTGACCACGCGGCCCGTCTCAAAGCTGTACCTCACGATGATGTTGGTCTGCATCTTGTTGTAGTACAGAGAGCCGTTGTACACCACATGGTTGGTTCCAGCCCATTTAAAAGGCAGATTGTAGGTTCTGGATTCCACTCCTGCCACAAAGTCGCCAATGGATTTGTACTCTTTTACTATCTTGTTGTTGGTATAGCTGTCCATGTACCAAACCTGTGGACGAATAAATAGAAAACAACAAGCGTACTCAATGACCCTTGTCTCACACCCTCATAGTTTAAATTGTAGGCTTTAATTAGTTCTGACTGTACATGTTTGTTTTTATGGGTTGCTGGTTAATAATTTACTTAAAACAAATGCCTGCAGAAGTCGTAATATGCAAATAAGTCTGCTGTTAAAGTTCACATACAGTTTGATCAAGAGAAGATGTAGAAACATCAGCCCTGAAGGCTAAAAACAAAAAAGCCTTGAAAACAGGAAGAATGCATGAGAAAAAAATTTGAATAAACGGGCAGAATCAGGAGTAAAAGTCTATGACCAAGCTCTGAGAAACGAGGAAACAGAAATGGTATCCACATCCAAAGAAGTCAAACGTTAACCAAAAACTTTCATCTAAACAGAAGAAATAAGATAAAGGTGGATGAGAGTATTGGGTGACGGTAAATTTGAATACAGGGGAGTGAATGAACAGTTCGAGATGATGTTACATAAGGTTTTGGTCATGCTAAAGTTATTTCAGAAAGACAATACATTTAGTCACTTCTCCTGATATCAGATTGTATATCGTATATTTATATTGTCATTATTCACGTATCAACCACTGAACAGGACTTTGCCAGCTGCCTTTAATATTTGTTGTCGGTGTTCTGGTTCGTTGATTTTAAATTGATAAAAGTATATATATATAAAAATCTGTGGCACTACATATCCACAAAAAAATGTTATGAAAGCATTTTATCATCGCATGATGTCATCAGACACTTGGGGTCTATTATTTAATAAATGAAAAGGTTTTCAGTTGTGGTTCAAAAGTCAAAAACATCATTACTTACTGATAATTTGGAGGTGGAGGCTAGCAGTGAAAAAAAAAAGTCTCCCTAACACCACAGTCATACATCACTGTAATGAATAGGATGTTCTGCCTTTGGAAGAGCTGAGAAATAATTCTGAGGCAAATTACAAGCTTAGTTTCAAATCTATACTTACTATACACTTACTGAATCAACCTTGAAAGCACTATAATACACCTTTAGTAAACCACTTTTCCATGTCTAATTTCTCAGAGGAAACGCAAGGCTAATTATCTCACCCTGTTGTTTTTGGAGGACGCTTGTGGATCCGTCATCCAGGCTCCAAATCTGGTTCCAGAAGTCTTTACTGTCAGCGGCCCAGTGATCTTCATCAGTTTGCCACATGCTGAAAACACACAGTGCTGGTTAGGTTTTTTCTCTTTTCATCGCTGGAATATATCTTCATACTTTTAAATCTGGTACAAATAAATGTTGAAATTGGAGTGCTTGTGCGCAGCATGCTGGCCCTGCGCTGTTTGCTATCAGAGGAACATTACAATCACATAAGTAATTTTGTCAGACACTCTAAATATGCTAAATGCCACTAGGATCATCACTTGAATTCATGCTTACAGGTTGTTTTATTAAGTATTGAGATCAATCAAAGCCCCTGCACTTTGAATGGTTTAGTTGTCTCCTAAAGCTATAACAGATTTCCTTCCTGCCATATGAGTATCTACACGTTAGTTAATTTTTTTTCACATTATAACAGTCATCCTCACAACTGATAGCTGAGCAGCTGGCAGGCTGAAGCTTTAACATTTAACAATGGTGAGATTGCCCTTAAGACAAATTGATCTAATTAGCTTAGGTAAACCTCCAAACACAGCATTTCTGAGCCAATAAAGAAAACATTGAAGCCATACTAATAACGGAATAATAAACCTGAAAAGCACTCATTAATCCACGATACAAAGCGTTCAAATTTTACCATAGAATAGACCTCAATATTCGTAAATAATATCCTAGTTCTCCAAAAGTAACAAGTAGCTCTTGAAATAGAGAAATGATTCTCTTCCAGTATCATTATTTTTGCACCTCTCTCTGGCTGTAGAAGTTCTGCTCTCTCCTGCCATGTTTCAACAATACCACTCTGCAAATGTTCCGAGTATCCCATTGCTGATGGATAAACTTACTGAGTTTATTCATGCATTTGTGCAGCCTGCTCTCAAGGTTTAGGACCTTCTGTTGCAGCTCCTCATAGTCATAGGCTCCCATCTCCTCCTGGATTCCAATCAGCACACCGGACAGGTTTCTGATCTCTTCTTTGAACTGGGAAATGAGCCTGGCATCTGTTTTGTACTGCTCCAGGACAGGGATCAGCGGCTGTAAGGATTCCATCTTTCCCTTCAGCTCCTAGAACAAACAAACACCTTCTGTTTGCCAAAAGAAAATGTGTGTAATACCTGCTTCTTCTTATGCAACAGAAGATATTTACTAGCATTAGAGCTAACCTTGCTTCATCGTTTAGCATCAAATGCAACTTCTTTCTTAAAAACTTAACGTACAAATAGCATTTTATGTGAAACAAAGCAGGGTCTATAAATCATTTTAACACAATGAAAACAACTGCAAATACATAAATCAAAGTTGCAGATCAGACTCTCCACATCACAGTATAGCAAGAGTAAGCAAAAGAAGAGACAAGCTGAGTTACAATCCAACACAATTATTATTTATCTGATGGAAGGTGATGGTTATCTCTACAGATTATCATGCAGCTATAATGGTTGGAACTGTGCTTCATTGTCATCTTTCCCACATGTATGAAAATCCTCTCTTATCTGTGAGAAGACATTCAGTTGTGTTATCAGTGAAAAATATTGGAATTCTTTATGAACTTGGCAGCTTCTGAGTTGGAGATGGTTAAAGCAGTGTTTTTTTAACCCCGGTCCTGAGGGCCCAAATCCCCACATCATTTTTTACATTGCTCTATTCCAGCACACCTGATTCAGATGAATAAATTGTCACGATCCTTCTGCAGAGTTGAGGAACGAATACATTTACCTGATTCAGGTGTGCTGGAGCTGGGAAACTTGGAAAACATGCAGAACTCTGGGCCCTGAGGACCAGGGATAAGAAACACTGACTTAAAGTATCAGAAATTTAGTATGACAAGATTATAATTCAAGATAATAATATACTAGCCTCAGCGGTGTAGAAAATGGATGGATGGATGTTCACTAAGGAAATTTCTTCAATATATTGGCAGAATCAATTCATCAAATTTTTGTGTACCTGGTGCCACGTCCCCATGCAGATTCAAACCAAAGTTTCTTAGTTACAAATGATGATTGATTCATTTAACAGAAAGGCTTCCCTGTAGCTTTTGCTGGTCCAGCGCTATCCATCAATCATGACAGGTCCATTAACACCTGTCTCTCTTTAAGGAAGCTTTTATTGCCAATTGTCTGGATTTAAAAATCTGTCTGTGGAGTCCAAAAAACAACAAGAAAAGGAAGTATGTAAAAATACGTTTTTTAAGGGGGAAAACCATGCATGACTACTACGTGTTCCTCAAACAGCTGACTGCAAGCTGTCCTGCCCGTTGGCAGAATCTGAAAGATGTTCAGTACAGAAAGCCTGAGCTTTGCAGAGGATGGGTTCAACCGTTATCATTAGTGACCTTCCATTTAAAGCTGAAGCACTATTCCTTCATTGTTTGACTTAATATAGTTATGACTAATAGAATGTGCGAAAACTGACCCTGTACATCACAGAGCATTCAGAGTTCAGTCCAAGGCAGCCGATAGTGTGCTTTGCCCCTGAAAATCCTACAAATTACCCTTAGAATATGAGTCCTTATAAGTCTCTGAATCAGTACATTAGTAAGCTGATGTTCAGATTCAAAGTGAAAATAAACACAGCATCGGTATATCTGGAAAACTGTACATGTGTAACAAAGACTGGAAATACATCACAAACATTTCATTGCTTGGATTACAAAATGCAGGAGTGATGAAATTACACTTAAAAGGGCAGAGCTGAGAAATCTGTTAGAAAACTCACTTGAATATTCACAGTGATACACCGTTTAAAACAATGTGTTGCATAACATTCCATTTGAACTAAATAGATTGTATTCATGGAGCATTTACTATCCCTGATTTGATTAAGTTCTGCAATCTAATGCACTACCTGAGAGAAGTTTGTAGATTAGTTTTGTCATCAAGTAGTTTTGGTTGGTCCATGTGTTCCATACCAATCATCTAACGTATTTCCCGGATTATAACCTGCTCCAGAGTAAATTGTATCCATCACAACAAGCATCATAAAGGAGAAAAAAAAACCATAAAAGATGCGCTAAACTTTAAGTTGCATTTACTTATTCCCAAAGTAGAAGAACAGACATTCAGTCTGGATTGGCTATTTATTCAGCTGCACAATAGCATAAGGAACATACTTGGGAGGCTGGATAGACTAAATTAATATGACAAGCCCACCAGTCCAACAAGCAATTAACCAGTAAGCAAATTCACAATCTCCTGATCTCATTCCACATCACGGACTCCAAAGGATTTTCATCTATAAATTGTAGTAAAACTGGGATTTCAGTACTTCAAGGACATCTATGAATTCCTATGTCAGATTCAGATGTGTCAGGCCATACTCTTTAACAAAGAAAAAGCATACACCAGCCCCACTTTATCCATTTCCGATGTGTCAGATCCCAGAGAGGCTAATGGAGAAGAACAGCTCAAAAAACATTTTTCTCGTTAAAGCGTTCCAGTTGTTTTCAGCTGTACGAAATGCTTTGTCTTTTATGAGTCTGTCAGACCTCTGGCTAAACACGTTTTATGCTGCCCTAACATTTCTATTTGACTCGTAATAACCTTGTCCCGTGTTGACCAGCAGTCGACATGCAGCCGTTTTATACGGAATGAAGGTTTGTCAATTAACATTCTTCTCGGGTATCTTTTAGAAGCGACTGTCAAGCTCTCCTGTGATGTTTCTCTCAGCCTTAAAACATCAAACAAAAACATACCTGAAAGTTTTTATTGACGAGCGTCTTCCTGTCCGACTCGATCTGCCGGAACTTTGACCGCAGTCCTTTGATCTGGTTCTCCATCCTCATGATGTACTGAAAGTCTCTCTGCGTGCGCAGGTTCAGCACCTCGATTGACTGCGACATGTTCTGCACCTTTTGAAAAGAATGGAAAGGCACAGCATTGATTTCTTTCCCGTCCGCCAGATTAAAATGTCCTCCTTGTTCAGCCGTGCTGTTGCCCGCTGTGCTCTTACTGCCTATGGAACAAATCAACATTTTGACCTCCAACATGATTGTCTTTCACCACATGACCGGGATGCAGCTCCAGCTTAATCTTACAAGGATGTTGGGCTGTTTTGGGTTGTTTTTTTTTTGCTGTTCTCTTTCAAGTTTGAACCTATTTTCCGCTATCTTTCAGATGGAGAAATGGAGACATAATTTCATGTGTTTCTGTAAATATAACCGATCAAAGATCGGATGTAGACACCAAGCAAAGCCTTTTTGTGGTATTACAAAAGCCCACAACTTTTTGCGGCATGTGGACAACAGAAAATTTGCTCCTTCCTTTTCTCTCTTTGCCTATGATTTCAAAACCAAACTAACATTGTTATTGGCGCACATCAGTGGCAAAGTGGCATAACATCATGCATTGTGTTCTTTTCCTGCTCTGGCGGACAGAACCTGAAATGGTCTCACTCACGCCCTGAGGCAGCTTAGTACATTAGTGCCACAGTCCCCTCTGACTGATAGAGCTCATGCATTGGCATAACACATAAAAAAGTAGGCTACACCATTGTTTCTTCAAAGTATACATCATACATATTGGCAAAAGCGAAACCAGCGCTCTGCTATTTATTCGTGAGTAGAGGATGTGCTAAATCACCACTGTCATGGGGGGGAAAGCATATTGTTAGGGTTGATGGTTCCACATCAATTCACAGTGATGCCAGCTGAATGATAGGGGTTACATTCAATTATTTTTGATAACACAACTTCAAAAGATACATTTCTGATGACAGTCCACTTTTTGACATCAACATTTTGTTTGCATGATTTAACCCTAAAAACAATAATAACAGCACCAATAACTGTATTTGTAGTAAAAATAAAAGAACGCCCTAATATGTTTTTGTGCGATGAATGCATCCTCATTTTCACAAGCTGCCATTCGGCTGACACCATTTGTGTAATATATTCAGCAGGGAAAAAACAGTGTTATGGCCCTGGATGGTGCAATAACTCTGAGGATTACAGCGGGCGCAACAGCAAAATGATTGAAAATCAATGCGCTGTCAATATGAATTCAGGTATGATGGTTGGTTACAGGACACACATGAGGCATAAAACGGGTGTGCCTTTGTGTTTATGTGTGTGTGTGTGTGTGTGTGTGTGTGTGTGCACATGCCTTCTCCAGGAGCTGGCGGAGCTGCCTGCCTTTGGCATCTCTGGAGCACAGACTCTGTTCAGGTGCCACCACTGTGCAGATACAACGCCCATCTGCATCCTGAGCCGAACTGTACACTTGCCACCCCTCCTTTGGCCTGATGGTCTGCACACAACAACTCATGAGCGACCATGAATACACAAAAGCAATTTTTGTACAGACACACATGTTGATGTAGCTGTTATGAAACGGCAGCATGCTGTAGCATTTTTTATTTGTAACATTTGTAACATTTTTTCTTATTTTTGCTCTCATGCCCCCCCACAGCTTTGACATAAACAAATTCAACTAATTTTAAAAAGATGTAGTAAATAAAATGCTTTCTCTGGTAAATGGTCCTTTGGTTTTTGAATATTTTCTCCATCGAGTTGATGCTTCGACAAGAAATAGCCTTTTTCTGAGTGCAGAAATTCATTTTTGTCCTCTCTAGACCTCCCAGTGCTTTGAAAACAAAAATCCCTCAGAGAAATACAGATCCTACTCTTAATAAAAAACAACTTGCCCCCTCAGGGCAGAGGTGAAAATCACCTTAAAAGTCTAAAACATACATCATAAGGAAGTCGAGCACCATTGAATACCACCTCATGTCAGACTGACTTCATTAGATAACCGAATACCAAATAGTCTTCCTTTGAATACATTGATCAAAATGTGGCGAAACACTGAAATATCTCATTTCTTGACAATGGTCAAATCAAACAAACCCCCACCCAAATCCTACCCATCTCTGATTGTGGATGAATATTTCTTTCTGTGTTGTCATTTGGACTTCACATGCAAAAACTGAATCTCAATGGAGGATATCGTGAACTTTAAAGCTCTAGTTCTGTGTGTGCAGGCATGCTTTCAACCTCTCATTCAGGCTGCCTGTCAGCCCGAGCAGTTTAAAGAGTGTTTGACATCAGCTTTGAAAGATCATGTCCCTTATGAGTGAGCCAAAACGTCACACCAGGGAGACAGCTGGGCCTTTGACTCATCATTTTCACCCACCGGTAGGCTGCTTTTTGCTACTATGTGCTCTGATGCTGTCGTAAAAATAACACATAGACCCTCGGAAAATAAATTAAATCCATTACAATATCAGGTTCATTACGATTGTGTTATTGCTCTCATTCTGACTCCTTGACCTGATATTGAAATGCAACATCAAAACCAAGGTGATATGTCTCATTTTGAAAAGTGCGACTTTGCTATTAGGTTCTGTGCTATTTTCACATAAATTACAACCATTGAAAAGCAGAAGAAGAAGAAGAAGAAATGATATTGTGATGAGATTTCTGGAAGTCACATGAGGTCTAGGGAGTTATGAAAGAAACTGGGTGGTGCAGTGCATAATAACTGCAGCAGAAATGTTTTATTGTCATGGTATCATAGCTGAATAGGATAAATGTGGGAGGGTGGGTTTTTTTTTCTCTTTGTTTTGCTTTGAAAAGGCTCCCAAAAAGGATAGTTTTGTTAATCTCTTTAAAGTGGTCTTTCTCCTGTCTCTTGGGTGAGGCAGGTCTTTTCCGCTTTTCTCACAATCACATTTCTTCATCAAAACGATTCTGTCACTCAGCCAAGCCAGATGCACTCCTACTTTGGCTTTTCTCCGTAAAAAGAGTTTTTCTCTCATTAAATAATTCCGAAAGCTGGTTCCTTTTTTGTCTTGAGCATTCGTTTGGACTTTTTCATAGATCAGAAGGGGCATTTTTTCCTGTGTGAAAACATTTCCTGTCTTTCTGAGCAAATGAGCGCTTCCAGTCATGGCAAGGTAAGGAAACTGCTTTGCAATCAAGGTGCTGGCAGAAGGACTGCTCTGCATGGGTGGGATGAACCTAATCGACCATTGTTCTGGCTTCCCAGCTGTTCCCTTTAATTTGGGACGATGCACCCAAACAGAAACCCATTTAAAGGGTTAAAGTTACACCTTCACAATAATCATAAAAACAAAACAAAACAAACACCCTGATAATTGAAAGTACTAGTTGATTTTTTTTTTCATTAAATGAAAAACAGAATTAATAAATAGATGTCAAAATGCTGCTGCTTCTGTGAGGGAATTTCGACAGAGCACAAGGTTCATAATCAAATTATATTCATACTTAATATTTCTAAAACTCTCCCTTAAAAGTGAAGTATAGACCTGGCAATGCCCCAAAATCAATATGTCCGCTATATGGTTGATGTAAGCAATAAACAAAGTGCTGAGAGGGTGGATCCACCTCAGCTAATATGAAATTCATTATTTTTCAGTTCATGTCATTGTCATTTTACATTTCTACATGTCATTTTACATTTATGAGAACCCCGGAGTACGCACAGGTGACAGTAACTATCGAAAAGAGTCAAAACGATCCAAGAAAACCGCGGCTCACCCCCGTGTAAAAAAGAAATGGCAAACGAGAAAACCGTTAAGAAATGCGCTCCACCCAAATCAAACGCAAAATCCCAAATAAACAGTACCAACAGGACGTCAAGTTTTTCGGACACACGAGGCAGTTTGTTGTGGGGGAACTCACCGCTGTTGGGCAGTATCCGAACAGTAGGAGGAACAGCAGCGGGTTCAGGACCATGGACAGCGGCCACATTCTGCCGGATGCTGCAGCGTTTCCCTCCTCCAACACCTTCGCAACACCAGGGGAATAAAAAAAAAAAGGAAAAAGAAAAAAAAAATCAAGCAAGTTGTTGACCGTGCGCTCACGCCACCGTGTCCAGCACAATTTGGTCACCACCGTGACATCCCGGCATGGAGGTGTGTGTGGGGGGGGGGGTAGGGCATCCGTCCTCTCGTCCCCATCACGCCTGCCGTGAAACGGCAAGGAGGCGCAAAAGTTTCTGGGCAAGACAAAAAGAAAAAAATCGGGAGCTGCGTTTAGAGGCCCCCCTTTCTTCGCGGATGTGACATCATCCAGCCACTATTGACTTTAAATCAAGCCAGCGTGTGTGTGCGTGTGTGTGTGTCTGTGTGTGTGTGTGTGTGTGTGTGAAGAGGAACCACCAGCAGCTGGTCGCAGACAAAAGTTGCAGCTGGCAGCATTCAGGAGAGAATGGGAAGCTCTCAGATGCTGTTGCGTTTTTGTGAACGCGCAAGGAAGGGGGGGGGGTGCCAAAGGGGTGACTGGAAAATGCCAATCACGATTCATTTTTTAAATTAAATGAATGAAAAACGCGTCCCACACATTCACCATGAAGGTTTTGGTTTTAGGGTTCTAATTCAAAATATTCCAATTGCTGTTTGGTGTGATTATTCTGTATTATGTGTGGAATCCACTTGATGTCAAGAAGAAAGGGAGAAAAGTCAATTATGGGAACCAGATCAAATAGTATCTGTTCAAAATGAACGGAATTAGATACAGAAGCATCAAGTAAGGATGTAATCTCAGTCATCTGGCTTTTAAAGCAAATGCACTCCACATGGATGCATCTCCTAAAAAATACTCCATGGATTACTTACGAAACCTTGATTTCAAGCTATAACAAAACAGAGTTTAGAAAGAAGCTATTTTACCTTTTCATGTTTTTAAAAACAGTGTTGATCGTGCTGTAATATTTTTCTTTTTCTGTGTATCTTCAGTGGAGATTCAGCTGGCTAGAAATACTCGGTGGGTATTTATTTACGGGTTTCGGCTCAGTCAGCCATAATAGAAACATGGACAAACACTCATTTTTGACTGTGTGTGACCCTCAGAGCTGCAAGAGTCCAGAGATAACTTTAAAAACAAAATCGTTAACCAGCACAAGCTTCACACAGAGTTTCTGAATTTTGGGGATGCACAAGGGATGGGTTATAAGTTACAAAGCAATTTTTTGCATAGCAACTTTTCCCATCGACATCAATCTGTGGCATGACTGACTGTTTCCTCATTTTGTTGCAGTGATCTGCAACACTGCCCATGAAAATGATACAGTGGAGCAGTGGCTCCCATTAAGTTTGTAGCCATGGCAATGTAGTAAAACAGAAAATGGAATCACTCTTGCCGCTTAGCATGCAAAACTTAAAAAACAGAAAAATATAATCAGCTTCAAGTAAGTTGAGTTATTGACCTGGGTGAAACACTGGAAACATTCCTGCTTGCTCAGATCTAATTATCACATAAAGGGATTTGAAAACCTGTCATATTACTGAAACTAATAACACAAAGCTTTTTGTGGTGCCGTGCAGTCAGAATGCCCCATCTGGCCATAGTCATTAGTCACACGCTCTAATATGACACTTTGCTTTCAAATAAATCAGACTAAGTATTAAATAATGTGCGATGCCCTAATTGTGCATGCAAATAGAGCTGCATTTGTTCTTTCAGCTTCGATATATATTCGATATTTTTACCCCCGTCGATTGACATTTTCTACAAATGGTTTGCCTGGATATTTGTTTGTCTGAACTGGGAGAGTGTCTAGGTAATAAAACAGAGACTTGGCTATCTTGATTTTACTTTTAAAACATGTGCATGTGCTCCGATCATGTTTTGGTTTTGGTTTCACAAACCACTTAGATATAAGTTTCATCCATTTCAAACAATGCCAATGAAAAACATTTTTCAAAAACTAGATATCTGAGGAACAGGAGTTTCTCAAGGCCCGTCCAAGTCCAGCACTCAGCAGCAGGGTTGAGCTGATGCGTGCTGAAGCCCAGTACAGTGAAGTTGGATGGTTTCCCAGGGAAACTGTTTGAATGAGGAACGCTTGAGTGTGTCTGACAGGAGAAGTAGACACAAGTTTCTTGGCACACTGAAACAAAGAGGTTGTGTACAGTGAGACATGGCCTGCATTGTAAATGAGTTTCTCTCGAGCATTAGGGGTGGCTTTGTGGCTCAGTCCAGTGTGAATTTGTTGAATTATGGTGATCTCAGTGTAACCTTTGCAGCTAAAACGCATTTTCAAGCAGCTTCAAAGAAACGTGTGCAGTAGTGAATGAAGAGTATCATCAGGGGGAGCATGCTGTTACCTTCCAACAAAACAGGTGCCAGTCGGTTCAGGATTTTTCGGGTAAATAACTGAATATCGTACACATCTAGCAACTCTACACAAATCATTTCTATCTGTCACTCTTCCATAAAATTTGGCCGCGCTATTATTGTTGTTGCCAACTTTTTACACGCGGCAGCCTTCCAGAAAATCAGGTGTTTTTCTTAGTGGGGTTTCAGTCAAGAACAGCAGCAGCTTCATAACATTACTGTCCACATGGGTCCAGCAGTGTAGGCCAATGCAACACACAGTGAGATTTCCAGAGGGTAAAGTATGAATTGGTGTTTTGCTTCAAGGAGGAATGAAAATCAAGCTTTCTGTTTTGCCAAGTCACCCTCTCAGGGTGAATTCCTTATTCTAAATAAGATAATATTCAAAGTGAATCATCTTCAAATTATTCTAAGTTAAATAAACCAGTACACTATGAATATCTTTCTGTTTATATCGCATGCTACAGGTCCCTCCAGCCATTACGGAGCATGATGACTTTGAAATTAAACAGACAGGTCTAAAACTATAGCTCAGTGATTAACAACTGTCTGAAATTTTAATTGCTGATGTATTTTGGATACTTGCAAAGGGATATCTTATTGCTCAAAAACACTACAAACAAAAATATAGAACAGCAGGTACATATGGGCTCCATAGCTTAGCGTGACAAATTGGTGTGGTGTGAGATTGGGAGACCATACTGCAAACTGTGAACATAATAGTTTCAATCTAATACAGAGACAGGAGGCCACAGAGATGATATGAATGAGAAGGAAATTTCAAGAAGATTCAGGATAGAGTAAAAATAGTAGGAACAATATTCAGTTGTTTAAGTGGCCCAGACTGTCTTCCGTGCGTTTATGTCGGTTGCATTTGTCTCATTTGAAAGCGCCCGAGAGACGAGTTTCAGAGCCTTTAAATGGCCAACTTTCCTCAAATATGACTGCATGACTCCATGTGAGCCCAGAGAAAATTCTTCTCCCCCCCATGAGCGTATTTCAAGCTGTGATAAGGTCCAGTTATTTATGATTCCGATAATGATAGAATACATTCAAAACGGTGACTGGAGAAACAACGAGATATGTGAAAAATAACAACTGATTCTCGGAAAATAGTGACTCAAGTAACCCTGGTGATCTTTTGTGAGTCGTCCAACAAATCAGCCGTGGCTTGCTAGACTCAACTGTGGTCTTGGAGGGGATTTATTGAGTACAAACAGTAGCTTCCCTTTACGAACATCAATAGTGATCTGCAGCTTTATTTTCCTTTCCCACGTTGTGATCCTGTCACCATATAAAACTGAAACGGCTGACTCCGTGTCATTCTACAGAGACTCATGACCGCCCATGAGCCAAACTGTCAAGCACATGAACTTAATGATTACTCATCGCCATATGTGCTTTCACTGACCGCAACGTGATGACAGCTTTCAGCTTTGCAGAATACACACAGAGCCCAGCTATCAGCGTCCATGAATCATCGAGCAGCGTGACAACAGGTTCACAGACAGCCTACACTTTCGTACCCTTTTCACCATAAAGACAATTAATTTCAGGGATATGTCACTTAAAGCTTTGAGGCTTTTTATACGTATGGCTTACAGAAAAGAGAGCTTTAATACATAAAGGGTCAAACATTAACACTCGAATCGGAAAACTAGCACAACTTTTGAAGACTTTTGAAAACATTGCACTGCATTACATACCAAAAACATGCATAAGTTTTATATGTATATATGATCTTTATCCTAGACCTAGAGTAATACAACTATCCAAACTTGCAATTCTAGTGACCTGTGTCACTGTCAAACTGTGGATATTAGTCTTTTTCCTTCACTGGTGGCAAACTTAAAGAAGCACATATGATTGTTTTTGTTTTTTGGTGTTTCTTGCTATGAGAGCAAACCTTGGTTTTCTCTCACATCTGTTGTGTAAAATATTACCAGAATCACAAACTCCCTGGAAAGAAAAGATAATTGCTGTTGATTTATATTTTTTGTGGGTACTTGAGCAGCTCACATAAAAGCTGTGAGCTATTGTCATGCCAACATTTAGCAGATTATGCTGTGAATTAGACTTTTTTTTTTATCTTTGCCTGTATTTTATTCATGGTTAAGGGCTAAATTAAACGATTACACAAATCAAGAAAAGGCAGAACGAGCAATGCAGTTGTTCTATTTTTTTGTGGATACACAAAATCTTGTGTAATCTTGTTGTTTTCTCCCAGTCAGATGATTTAATTTCAAATAAATGATTCTAAGTCTCTGGTTGTAGTCCCAATGTATTTCATTTGTAGCATCCTTTTGGTTAAAAATGGTTAAAAGTTAAAAATGCAAGAAGGTCTGTCTTTAAACATCAATATGTAAGACAAAATAAATCATTAGTGTCCTGTTCTTTTCTGAATGTGAGATGTTCGAAGTTCAAGTTTCCCATAAATTCGGTCCATTAAAGCCAAAGAAAATGGTCGTATTGCGAACAATAAGTAGACTGTTACAAAAACGATCAAAAAACCCGAGAGGGTAAACAAAAACAATGGAAATGATAACACACAGGATAAAGAAAAAGGCAAATCCTGAGTCAGTCAGGTCTGGAATTCAGCACAGATAGTTGCATCCTTTCATTAAAGAGCTGCGGCATTTTCCCAGCTGTTGTTAGATCTATTGCTACTTTTCCCATCTGATACCTGGATGAACACACCGAACCTGAGGTTTTTTCTATCCAACACACACACACTTTGTACAGGGCGTCAGCCATCACAGGACCACACAAAAACAGAAATATAAAATCTGTTCATATTAACTGTTATGACCATTTCAGAGTCATCAATTAGTTCAACTTGTCTGTCTTTGGACTTTCTGAGGAGGCCAGATAATCAAAAGAGAGCGCCCAGGATGGCCCGAGAAGAACACTCAAACTCACTAAAAAAGCCAAGATCAAACTGGGAACAATTTTTTTTAGTGTGGACAATGCTGAACATCACACAAAAGGATTCTGGATTAACATCTGCATGCATTTATCAAGCTATATGGGAGAGAAATAAACGTAGTTTCGATGATATGGGCTGTATATCACATGGGGCCAATAGAGTAATTAGGAATTATAATTAATCATATTTGTAAAATCTCATAATGTGGAGCTTCTCCCTTCAGAAATATAATCTGGAACTACGACCTCTGCTTGTAATTATACAGTTTAAGTTGTAAGTGAATGCAAATGATTTCAATGTGCACTTCGCAAAGCACCAAATATTTATTTCAGTTGTACATAGGTTGTAAACATACTATAATTACACAGGTTTGAAAGCGGCTCTCAAGTCTTGGCTATCATAGCTTTAAGCTAAGGAACTGAAGATGCAAAAAGATCTTGAGTCTGAGAAAAAAAGATGAAAAAGTCAGTCAAATGAACTCAAATGCTTGGAACCAGTTGTTCTCCTTTAATAATCACAACAAAGAAAGGTCCTAGTATCAGGCAGCGCAGAATCACAAAAAAAGAGCACTACTTGTTTCTGCCAACAATACAGACATCCAATTAAAACGTTTTTTTGTCCCAGTTTTAATATATTTGAACAATTCAAGCCACATGAAAACATCTAGGTTACTGTTACAAATAAAATGTCCGCATGGGATCTCCGTAATCTGCTTTTCGTCAACAAATTGTAATCACACAAACTTTTTACTTTAAACATGCCTGTGTTTTAATGATCATGGTTGTAGAGACAAATATGTCCACCTTTTAGAAAAACAAACTGAGGTATATTAGCAAGCTGAAAGAATAAGCCCTGTCTTTAAACATTTATATTACTGTCTCATTCTATTATGGCTTAATTTCGCAATAGATATTTTAACTGCTTTGTCATGACAAAACAAACAAAACTCTTTATTGCTTTTCGTGTTTGTGTTCTAAATTTTGTTTAAACTAAAAGAAGTCAAATGATGGTTGAGATGTTATTTACAAAAGGATTATCTAATACAAACAAATTGGAGGCATTTGTCAAATGCTTGCCGTTGATGTTTTCCAAAGACATATTTCTAAAGCAATGTGTTTAAGACATTAAATATATTCATAGGATTTTCTCTAAGATAGTTTACCAAATATTTATTCAAACTTTAAAAGCTGGCACATGCAAGTTTTTAGAGTGGATTCGGAGAGGAACAATATTATACAAAATAATTATTATAATAATTACAGTTTTATCAAAAAGCACTTTTTTGTAGCACCTTGAGTGTTTTGTGATTCTGCACAAAAGCACCTCTGTGGTTGTATTCAGAGCAGCACCTGGAGCATCCAGAGAGGGAGATGTGGTAGGAGGATGGGGACTGGGGGGGGGGGGGGCTTTGGGTGAGAAGTTCCTCTCTGTTGCTGAAAGTGTGCAACCGTCCACCACGGCATCAAATGTCCTTTTCCTGATGTCACTCCCCTTACAATTTATGTCATGTGATTCTGGCCCTACGAGGGCAAGGAGTCGTTTCCCCAGGGCAGCGCTTACATGACAGGGCCTGGGGGAAGCCTTGTATTTCTTTATATCTTTTTCTTCTTCTCCAGACATGAGCGGATCTTCTTGGCAACAAAAGAAAATATAGGTTTTTTGCTTTGCGGGGAGAGAAGGTGATGGTTGTCAGATCTCAGCATGTGGGTGTTAGTATGTATCCTCTGACCCTGTCCTTCAGCGGGGGGGTGTGGGTGTCTAGCCGAGGAAACATACGGGGCCGACCTCAAAGCCAAACCTCTGGTTGGACTCCCCAAAGTCATTCAGCATGACATCAATGATGGGCAACTGGTCGATTCGGGGAGTGTTGATCTCCATCACTGTCTTTGAATAGCCCTGCTTCAGCTGCAAGCAGAGAGGGGGCAGAGAAGAAAGGTTGTTCGTAAGTACAGCGTTTCCATTGCTTTAACAGCAGATATGTTCGTATAAATGCAGTAATAGATCAGTGGAGTTTGAGAGTATATTACAGTTATTTAAAAAATAAATGGGGAATGCACTCTTTCAGATGAATATGAATAATATGAATGGAGGAAATACTTGACTCTGAAATAAGAGATGCGTTAAAGCATAGCCTGTCCCTACTTTTTAAATTTCCCACTCTAGCCACTGATCTGTGCTTCACTGCACCACTGCTGCTATGTCCAATATAAGCAAATGCTGACGCTTTCCTAAAACTGTCTACATATTTGCGAGGATTAGTGGGATTTCATGGGATTTAGAAAAGTTTAATTGCAAACTCAAAGTTTGAAAACGACTGTTTACCGAGCAGCCGTCCATCATCGGCTTGATGAAGGGATTATTGTCATAAGACATTTCCTCATCATTGGAGCCCAGGAAGCGCAGCGCCTTGTCGTAGGTGTCGGCTTTGGCGTCGTACCAGGCTACAGACTGATGGCAAATGTAGGTGAAGTTCTGCCGTGCCGAGGAGCTCAGCAGCTTCAGGAAGGTCATTTGTACTGTGTTGATGGTGCTTTCTGCTGCATCAACATAGTTCAGCTGGGGACATATGGAGAGAAAGGGTTAGAGCCTAGAAAAATAAAGACAAACACAAGACGGGATGATAAGGAATGAAGTTAGGAAAGTTAGTGTGATCGAAGCACAAAAGTGGATGGAAAGGATACAGGAGGGAGATGAATGACAGTAAAGCAAATAACTAAGATTGGTGAGGAAGAGCTATTGTGATGCCATGGTAAAGGAGTAAAATGGACAAACTTAGAATAAAAAAGCATTTGAATTTCTGAAAGTTCGGGTAATAAATAAAAAAAAGGGGTTGTGTTGCTACACTTACAATTTTGCCACGTTTAAATTCACTGAACCATGAACCTGGAGCCTCCTTTGGCCAGTTGGATATTCTAACCTTCAATAAAAAGAAAAAAGACACAATCAGAATGAAAGAGAAATAATGAACAAAATTATTTTTCAAAAATACTTTCAGTTTACTGTAACATCAGTCCATTATATCAAGAAAGTTTGTAACTTTGTGAAAAGATTGCGGGAAGGACACTATAACTCACCCCACTCATCTAATGTTACATAAAATACTGTCAAAGTCTAAGCATTGCTGATAACTTACTCCTGTGGATTTCTTGTCTGGGTAGATGCATGTTTCTCCCCCTGCTGTGAAGTTACAGAAAACTTTTATGGAGTCTCCGATGCAGCCCTGGTTTGGATCGATCCAGTATTCACCTGAGAAAGACACAGATCCATGAGACGTGGCCAAGGCAACAGTTTTCAGAACAGCCTTGGGCCTGAAAAAAGTTTATTTAACGTTCAGCTAGTTCTTGGTATAACCTTCTGTCCCACTTGTTCACAGTTTCTGCCACATTGTTAATACGGAGCTAAACATTCTCTCCACTGTACCATCTGGAAAGTCAGGTTGGCTGAGGCGCAGGTCGTTGCAAGTCCTGGCTGGGTTGTCCTGGGTGCCCAGGGGGAACTTCATGCGCTCAATGTCCTGTTTGAGGTTATTAAGAGATCCAAACACGTCCTCCATTCCCTCCATGCCCAAACCATCCATGCCATAGTCTGCCAATGCCTCATCTCCCTGTACTTCAGCCTGCCGCCGGGTCTTTCTGGCAGCTTGCTGGATGGGCAAAGGCTGGATAATATCTCCAGGAGGTCCCTGCAATGAATAGGTTAATTATTAAGCAGCTTGTCTCTGCTTTCTCTTTATTTTGCATGCAGGCTGTACCGTCGAAGGGTGTATACATGATCAACAATCTGCAAGCACAGCGATACTTTTTCTAAATTAAAAATGATATGTTTCATATTCTCCCAAATTACAATGGTTTTAAAATGCTCAAAATATTCTGATATAAAAAAAAAAAACAGCAAATAGGTTTCTTACGGGTGGTCCAGGTGGCCCAATCAATCCAGGGTCTCCCTTCTGGCCAGCGGATCCCTGATAGAAAACAATGCACCACAGTCATGTCAAAATAGAGCATACTCTACTCAAACACGTAGTGACATTTGAATACCATCGGAATGATGAAAGGGTGGAGAAAAATAACTTACATTTGATCCCTTAGAACCCTTCTGTCCTTGAGCACCCTAGTAACAGACAAAGCAATGTTATGAGATGAACCACAGCTAAAGTTTCACATTTTTCCACCAAGAACCAAGAACTTACAGAAATTCCTGGAGGACCAGGAGGGCCGAGAGGACCTTGTGCACCCCCGATGCCCTGGTGAAACACAACAGATGAAATTAAACAGCTTGTAAATGATGAATGCAACATATTGGCCTTTTTTAAATATTTCTTCCTGCTGGTTATTTTAATTTTGGACTCTATAGGACACTTACAGAATCACCCTTGCCACCTGACAAACCCTGAGGTCCAGGCAAACCTCTGTCTCCTTTCTCTCCGGGTTCCCCGGGAGGTCCAATCAGACCAATCAGACCAGGATGTCCCTGGAACAATCGGAGAGGTATGGAAATACAAATAAATACTCGTCAACCAAATGTAATGTTTAAATTCTGTTTCTTCAGAAGACAATCAGCGTCCTCTTAAAAGTGAAACAAATATGCAAATTCGCATGCAAGTTAATAAAAACTGCCCAGCCAGATGAACTTTTTTTTTACATCCGCCAGTAAATCATTGGTGTTTAATGCGGTCGTCATATCTAACAATGATGGTGGGTCTCAGCACCTGCTGTTGGGCAGAGTTATGATCAGCTGGCTCTGGCTGCTGCACGCTGGCATTAAACCAATGACCATTAGAAAGATGATATGATTGAACTTATACATATTCATCTAGAAGAGTAAATCACGGAGTGAAAAACTCCTCACAGAGCCAAACCTCTCTTCCTTTCTTTCTTTGGCAAAAAGCGAACAAAGAGACAGAAGTGAATGGGCCAAGATATTTGCTTGGGTTGGATGCCTCAGATAAGGAGCATAATCAGGTACGAGAAATACACCACAAAGCCATTTGACATTAGCATCTTAATAATGCCTTGCCTTTTCTCCTTTGTATCCAGAGTCACCTTTCATGCCTGGAAGTCCAGGGGGTCCCTGTGCAGAGAAGATGAGTTTGTCAATCACAGCTGACCGCAGCTATAATTCATTTTATTTGACAATGAAAGCTAAAAGGAATGTCTGTGCTAATAGTGACTGTATTAGATAAATTGAAATACATAATCTTTCAGTGTAAAAAGAATAGATATGAATTAATATACACAACTTCTACGTGACCAGCTCATCATATCATGACAATTCTAAAAATAACAATTCTAATAACTAGAATAACTAAAGTAAAACTACATGAAAAATTACAAGAAACTTACAATAGGACCAGGAGGGCCATCTTGACCAGAGGCACCAGGGAGTCCTTGTTCACCCTGAAAATAAGAAAATCATCATCTGTCATTTCAAAGCCCTGTGATTACCCTTTAATGGAAACCCACTGTGAAAATAAATCTATGGGATTTGGCACTGGCATCAAATTGGTTGAGAGATATTGATCTTGTTAACTCACAACAGGGCCTGGGATACCACGCAGACCTTCAGCACCAGCTTTTCCGGGAGGACCTTGAGGTCCCACTGGTCCAGTTTTCCCAACAGGTCCCTCTGCTCCAGTTTCTCCCTAAAATAACAAATGCTATTCAACTTCTATGTTTGATAACTTAAGTAAGACCTAAGTTATGGTGAACTGCAACATGCAAAAGGGTCAGATACTTTAAGATAACTTAAGTTTTACTTAAGTTATTATATCCTGCAGCAGCAGATTCACACAACAGAGATTAACCTAACAAATACAACAAATAACATACAAAATGTCCCAAATAACATACAAAATGAGTGTTTTTACATCAGTGATTACAAGATCTTCCCCCATCTTGATGATTTATGTAAACCAGCATAAGTCATAACACCATATAATGTTTTTTTTATGGTGAACTGCAACATGCAAAAGGGTCAGATCCTTTTAGGTCTCATCTCTTATCTCGTTAGGAACAGTTAGTACTTATTTTTTGAAGCTCCATAATTGTCACTTAAACTGTTATAAAGCACAGGGACTGAACTCTTCTGACAAGCAATTAAGTTTGGATTTGACAGGATCATCAGAAAGACTTTTCCTTGTCTCAAACAAATCAACACTTATCCTTTACTTTGTGGATAGAATGTGTTATTTGTGTTAGTTTAAATATGCACATATAGAGATATGTAATACCACAACAGGGAAGAATCAGGGTAGAGGGTTGGACATGTACGACACTTCTCAGATTTTCTGAGCATTCATATCATGTCACTAACCCATCTGATTGAAGGTTTAACAACATCCTCTGGGATTACACAGCCTTTTTTCCTCTTTAATGCCCCTTGATTGTTCAAACATATGTAAATTGTGGATTTTAACAAAGTAGTCAAATCTGTTGACATTAGAAAGGGACTTTGTTGCCTCTCATGTGAGATTACTTTGCATAATCTTGCAGGGACATGGGCATAAGAGCAGAATATCCGGGGAAAAGAGATTGCATGTGTGCGCCGCTGGAGATTTGTGTTTCCAGACATTTTATTAATCTTTTTATGCGATGCTGATTTGTACGATTGTCCTTTTGAAGGAGTGTTGGAATGTTTTCAGTAAACAAGACTCTTTGACTAAGACGAACCCTCAAAGGAGTAAGAGATAGTAATGGTGCGGTTCAAAGACAGAGTTGAACATTCCTATTGAGTAATACTGAGAGGAGCTGCATATTCTCAATGTACAATCATCTTAACCCAAATTCAGTGATGATAATGTCAACTCTTAAAACTTGGTTTCAATAACTAAAGAACTTACTTTGGATCCCTTCTCCCCTTGTCTGCCCTCCTGACCAACTTGTCCAAGTGGCCCCTGAGAAAAACAAAACAAAACAAAACAGAATTAGATTTCTCTCCATTAAAATTAGAAACTCCATTTTGTTAGCATAGCATAGTGCCTATTCGTGTAAAAAATGTATAATTACATTTATCTAAAGTGAATGCATCCAACATTTACTGACAAACAGCAGCTTCAAATAAAAGCCAATCATTCACTTCCTGCATGCTCTGACCTTGAAATAGGGATGGTTACGCAGGACCAGGCTGCCCGAGTGTGAGCAAACTGTCCTACATTCTAAATATACTGGGATAAAAATGCATCAGCATTTTCAGCAAACAGCCCCTGGTCAAAACCTTGTAAGTGGACTGGCATGTACCATTAAAAACCATAATCAAACAGACCAAACAAAAGTCACGGGTCCTCAGTGTAGGTTTTTAGCCCTGGAAACGTGTGTGTGCTGATTTGTGCGTGTGTGTGCGCTCATGCGTGTCATGCTTATGTAGTCAAGCAGCCACATGCATCAATAAACACCAAACTGGATTAATTTCCAAGGAGATATTGGGTAAAGGGAGTAACTCAGAATTACCTTGGAAAACAGACAGCAAATTCTATTACCATAGACATTGAACTGGGGTCTAATTTGTTTATATCGTCAGTGACATGAACATCATCGAGTGGCTTACAGATTCTGGAGATAAAAAGGTACCAGCATACCAGTGTGTTTTACTCTATGATTAATCATACTTACCATTATTTTCTATTATTTTTTCCCCAAAATATGAAAGCTATAGCATATGAAGTCTAACTGTTAATATGAAATGGCTACAACAAATAGATTTATTTTCTTAAAATCTGGGGATATTTATCTCAAACAATGTTTCTGTAAAATATGTGCAACACCCAGGAGAATCAGAATCAGAATCAGATATACTTTAATAATCCCAGAGGGAAATTATTTATGACTGTACCCTGTCCCTAAAACAATCCCTTAACATAAACTTGGAGACTTTCATCCTCCTCTGTTGCTCTTTGTGTGCAGTATACAGGGACTGCAGCAGAGCTGGCTGATACAGAAGGAAGATAAAATGTGACTTTTAAAAGCGATGCCCCGGCAACAGCATGCACTCAAAATGGACTCAGGCAAAATTTAAAAGCGTCCTCTCTCGCTGGCAATACTGTGTCAGCCTTTGAAACGACCCATTGATTGCAGGCTTTATTGTTCACTTAGAAACATTATCGCTGTGATTCAAAGGCAACATAAAAATGCTTTGCAAGCGAAATAAAATAATTTCGTCTCAAGTTTGATGTGGCAGAAATGGCCGTGAAGGCCTGGGATTAGAGTGACAAATTAATTTCCTGACATTAGTTGCATCAACAGCCATACTGCTCTCATATTACTGCCAGTCATCCTCACAATATGTCAATATTCCCTTACTGTAAGATTGCCATCTGCAATTGCTGGTTACTCTGGTTGCTCAGTTTTACTAATAGAAATAATTTAATGTCAAACACATGCAGGATAATTCAAAATCTAGCCTACGATCATAAATATGTATCACCCTACAGTGGGTAATGAAGTAGCTTGGGGCTTGTTATGAGCACTCTGATTCTAAAAGTAGAGCATGTTGCAAGAATTGAATGAAAGTATGATCTTATGAATCACTACTGGAGAAGTACTCACCCTTTTGCCAGGAGGTCCTGGTACTCCAGCTTCACCAGATGGACCTGGAGGACCCTGAATTAGAGCAGAAAGAACACTTAACTCCACTTCATAAAGATGAGGAAGTGTGGCATAGGGAAAAGTTCAAAAAGTGATATATTATTTCAAAGGATGGCCATAAAACATAAAAAAAACAAGTATTTTGGGCTCTGGCTTTCTGACTCCTTTTACTATATTCGAAAAACTACAGATTGTTGTCAAGTGAAAGAAGTTTAAAGTTTTCTTGGAATATCAGAAATCTCAGAATAAAAGGAAATGCTCAATGAAACATGAAATGAATGCCAATTTGTCTCTAATTTCCCTTATACAAACCACACATAGCCTCAGAGTTTGATTGGACCACATATTTGATGTGTCTTAGACTTACTGGTTGTCCAGCTTCTCCATCATCGCCTTTATCACCACCTAAACCATCCAGACCCTAAACAGAACACACAAACGAGCAGGACATGAAATTGTCAAACAAATGAAGACAAAAAAATATAATGGGTAATTGAAATGCAGTGTAATTGCTCCAAGTGCTAATTTTGATTCAAACTCACATAAATAGTTAATCTAAAGAATATTTTTTAAAGGGTCTACTGTAAATATAAACCCTTTAAATGATGGGTAAATCCAGAACTTACAGCAGCACCAGGCTCACCAGGGGGACCAGGGTCTCCTGGGAATCCAACAGGACCCTGTAGATATAAGTAGAGAGAGTTTCACCCACATATTAGACACTGTGTCAACAACAGCTATCACAGAAGATAACTCGATAGAAAATACGACTCTGTTGCTAACAGCCCTAATGACGCATCAGTCATGGCCGTATGTGTCTCAGCACATTTGACGTACAGGGTTACCCTTTGCACCATCATCTCCAGGTGGTCCTCGGCCACCGGGTGGTCCAGCAGCTCCGGGGGGGCCAGTTTCTCCCTTTTCACCAACCTCTCCTCGAATGCCCTGAAAAAAGCATCGCAGTGCTGTCATTACAAACACCACATAACCGCCATCCACACCACTTTGAAAATAGGACGGTAAATACAGCACAAGACAAGTGTGTTATTAAATGTTTCACCACAGCTGGCACCCCAAGCATACACAAAAGTGGTTTAGAAAGGAGAAAAGCGACATACAGTCTCAGCTTTAACAGTAAGTTTTTGATAGTTTGTAATGTAAAAACTTTTCCATCAACCAAATGATAATACGAAGCACTGCAGCCTAATTTGTCACTCCAAAAATAGCACTGGCACCGTCTTAAAGCATCGCATATGACTTAGAGCGGCAGCTGAAGCATAATTACAAACTCAAAATCATTAGTTGGCTCATTAGAGCTGAGCGCTTCTCTAGTCACTGACAGCACGGCACCTTTAATATTGACCTCGATTTGATGTGCAACACTAGGACTATCTATCACAGTAAACAGATATGTGGTAGCAGACGGATAAGTCAATATAATCTGATGGACTCAGATTCAGCAGGGCTCAAAGCCATAACTATGGTGATATGTCCCTGCTCTTGTACAAGCAGTGGCCACTGCCCACAATGGATTGATAACACCGCTCTGATCTGATATATTCATGATCAGGATGCCTTCTGTGAATACATAAACATTCATTTATACCAGTAGAAAGTAATAAAAACAGAAGCTATCGCAGGAAAGCTCATGGAGAATGAAACTGTTATATCATTATTACATGGATTGAAGCTAGTGCTGATCATGTAAATAATTCATTTAGAAAAGCTCATTTAAAAAGTTACCTGCTGTTGTGGTGCTATTAAAACCAAAACAGTTTGAGTTAATCAGGGTTTTGAATGAATAACAATGGCACAAGAGGTTTTGGCAGACTTTGTGCTAAATTACAATGAACTAAACTAACATTCTTAGACATAAATCATAATAAATCAGGAGTATAAATGCACAAAGCTATTCTGTAACTGTAAAATGAATATATGTACAGCTTTTGAGTGAATAAATAATTGGTTGTCTTGTTTCTATTGATGCAACTGCTGGCTGACATGAAACAGAAAGCACTTTAGCAAAATATCGGACTTACTCCAATGCCAGGCTCTCCAGGTGGTCCTGGGTTGCCAGCTTCACCGTTTTCTCCCTGTTAGGTTACAATTGAAAGTTTCATCAACAGCCCAGAGTTATCAGCAAAGTAATCCTTCTAACAAGAGCAAAACAGTGTTTTTGGTGATAGTGTTCTTTATTTGTGGAAGTAAGTCTTGTTATAAAAAACTAAACAAAAGTATTTTGTTTTTTGTAATGATTGTTAGCGCATCAACATCTTTCGGGTGTTTCTCACCTTCTCACCAACACCCCCCATTGCACCGATACCTCCAGGAGGACCTTGTGCACCCTGTAGATAAATCACAAGGATGTTTTTAAATTCGCAAGTAAAACATATGACATAGATACATTTTTTACTGTGCTAATTTTGAAGTGGCAAGTATGGCAGAAGCTCAACCGCTGACTAAAGTAAAAACTTACATCAGCTCCGCTGGGACCCTGAGGACCTCTGGGGCCGGGAGGACCAGGTGGACCCTGTCAGACAGAATGTTCAGAATAGTTTGGTCACATTATTAGTTATCATTTCCATATTTGTTCTCCGTCTAAAACAGTCAAAAATAAAAGCAGATCATTAGTGTGGTATATATATAATGTACATATAACGTATATATACTATTTTATTATAGTTTGCAATTTTACATAGGGAAAAGGCATGGTGGTAACAATGTTGTTAGCATCTAAAACCATGCCTGCACCAATGATTTAACCATTTTTAACAGCACTTTCCTTTTGAATTAATATAATCACAAAACATGGCAACAATACAATTAGGAATATACAAAAATATGTTTACATGCATGGGAACATTGTCTGAGGCAAGTACATATGTCTGAGTGCCAGCACTAGCTTCTTTCCTCCACTGAAATCCCCAAACAAAAGCTAGACACTAGACAACATATTTGCCCTCACAACTCAACGTGATCTGTACAACTGCAAAAAGAAAGAAGAGAACATACACAGTAGAAACTGTTTGAAAGGTTTTTGCAAGTTGCAGTGTTTGTGACAATACATTTTCCACGAAAAAAATCATCTGCCATGAATTTGGTAGAGTTCCTAAAACACAGCCACCAGCCAAAACTTTGAAACAAGCAGCACAACACTCCACTTCACTGGGCTGTACGTGAAGACAATGCCAATTGCTATGACAGAGAAAATTCACTGAAAAGGCAGCACTCACCATTGCTCCCACATCTCCATTCTCTCCTTTCTCACCAGGAGGGCCTGGCAAACCCTGTGAAAAAGACAAATATTACTCAGAACACAGAAGTAAAGGTCATGTGAGGCAGCATCTGAGACAAAACCCCTAAGAAAATCCACTGGACTGACATACATATAAGTGTTTCTGCTGTTCATTCCCAGGTACTTTCAGACGACATGTTTTAAAATGGCTGGCTTGAGGATGCAACATGATTGAGAATGCATTATTACGAGCAGAACCCCTGAGTGTAAACACACAATTAGTCAAAAAAGACACCTATTGTAATTAGAGGGTGCAGGAGGTTTGGTGTAATCAGCCTGTGTAAATTGCAAGCTGGAAACTCCATCCATCTATGTCCACAGCAGCATAGAAACAAAGGGGAGTGTGCAGACGGTGTGTATTATGCAGTTTTAAGATTCAGTCATGCTTGACTAAAACAGGTTGGGTACACCTTGGGAAGGTGTGTCTGTAATGAAAATGAAGAGGCTGTCATGGGCTATTCTAGCTTATTGTCTATCTGCATAATTGCAGTTATGATGTTTTGCACTGGCTTTACCGCAATGCATGCATAATCAATAGGTGTACGGAAGGTGGTAATGATGATGCGTTCTGTGAAACAACAGTGACTCTCATATTGCAATGTCGTGTGCAGTTCCAGGCCATTTTCTTGATTTACTGTACCTCGGTCATGACAGAAGGCTAATTTATAACAGGTTACGACTAAGCTTCGATCACGGTAATAACACATGAGAGTTGTAAGAAAAGAGGAGATAAATTAAGCTTCAACCAATAGCATATTCAATAGTTGAAAGTAATGGAATTTATTTCCTTTTTTAATTTGTTAGGCTTGTTTTTAAGTTATATTTGTAACCATACATACATGCAGACTCCTCCAAACGTATGCATCAGAAAAAAGTAAATAAATATTCCCTCTATTTCTTTAACTATCTCTGAATTATTAAAACATTTTGAATTGAGCATATCTAATATTTACTCTTTTCTTTATGTCCCGATCTGACCTTCTTAGCTTGAAGAATTAGACCTCTCACCAAGGATTCTAATATTCCACAGCAAACACAGCCCCAACTGATGGAATGCTTTCAGGCCGAAGCCATTCATTCCCCCCGGTCAAAAATCATTAATGCTACAGATAATTGCATTGAAAAGCTGAGCCTGCAGCAGCTGCTTCCATATATTGAAGGGCAGCTTAGCCAAAAATAATTAAAAGAGTGGAGATGGAGTGCATTATGCCCAATTAAAAGGCAATTGCAGTTAATAACAACTTTATCTGAGCCTATTGACCAGTAGGGCTTCACTTTAATTTCATCCTCACTGAGTCTTTGGATAACTTACTTTGAAGTATGCCATTCTTTATTCATTGCCACTAAAAGAATCCCGGACTTTTGTATTTAAATGAGCCAGCAGACCCTTTTCTATCTCTTCCTTCATATTTTTGCACCAAAACAAGATGTAGAATCTATAGCCCCCTAAGTGCTGTAGTGAAATCAAGCTTACAGGGAATGAAAACAAATATAACGACAAGTCTTATAAAAGCTAAGATGTGGTCAAAGGACCTATGTATCTTTTGCTAAAACATGTGTATTTTGTCATAAAGGGCGACTGCACAATATAATGGCGTAAAACAATACAGTAAGGCTTGTTCTGCAGAACCCCTGAATGGATGGAATCAAGAAGGAGTGGACAATCTGGTTAATGCATGATACTTTCATTTGCAGATGGACATTTGTGTAATTGCTTCTTTGATGATTCAAAGTAAAATCAATGAGCTGTTGCCATTAAAAATAGAAAGAAACAAAGATCAATGTATACTGAGGTACCATAAAGTTGTGGATCAGTTGTTGGTCAAATCACTGGCATCACGCTCTCATTGCCAAAACTGTTTTTGATAGCAGATTGGAATTTTGTGCCATGTATCTAACTTTTTGTCCAAATCAAACCAAACAAAACACTAACTCTTTCGGTCCTTGTGGAAATTAATATTTCGTCTCATTTTAAATAACTCTCCTTTGCAAATTATTTGGCACACGATCAAGGAATGTATACTTTAAATTGACTTTGATATATGATCAAATACATGCGCAACTCTTATTTGAGACTGAGGCCATTGCAGGCTTGTGGTTTACTGCATGATATTGATGTAGTTAGTCTGAGAAGAAACCCCGTTCGCTCCCCCCCCCCCCCCCCCAAGTGCCAAATGCAAAATGTAAGTAATGTTGATGGATTTTTAGTGCTGTCTATACTAGGGGAAGTCCTTGAGGGGGAGAAGCATTATTTGCCCAGGAACTCATCAGAGTGCCATTAAGGATTGAGGCTGCATTAATAAATTATGGTTTGTTTTGATGTAATGTAAATGATGTAAAGGGAGATGAAATGTTATAGGCTGAAGTTGTGTGAAGGAAATCATTCTGCTTTGTGTGGTTCAGACAGAGGGAAAGTTATGTGCATACCCACAAGGCTATGTTCAACGTGACTTGCTTGTCACATGGATTGACTGTGAGAAAGGGAATCAACACAAGTACTTATTAGCGACAGATTTTGTCAAGACTTGCCTGCAATCCGATGGGTCCAGGTAGCCCCGGGAATCCTCTGGGTCCTTCATCTCCTTTCTGGCCGAACATACCCTGCTGTCCTCTTGGCCCTGACTCACCATCGCTGCCCTGTAGGAGGTCAGAGTTCACAAAATCTCATTATCTGAAGCTCTGGTAAATGCAATTCCACAAAAATGTATCAGTTTTTTTCTGTCCTTTTCTGTAATATTCAAAATAATTTTCAAGGTTGTAGAGTATAGCCATGCTCCAAGGGTATAGCATGGTCAGACAGACACTTTTGAACAGACTTGGGTGGTCAGTCTCAGGGTCATTTCAAGGCAGATTCATCAAGTCATTAATGTTCTACAACCTTGTACCTTTTCTCTGGGATGAGATTTTCCAAGTACTCATCAAGGGTAGGGTCAAAAGTCATTTTCAAGGTTAATTTAGTGGATATATTTTGCCATTTAGAGTGCAGAGCCAAGCCACACGTTTGAGGATATGATTAACACTTAAGATTGACACTTTAATTTGAGGTAAAATGGACAAGAGTGAGAGAAAAGTTCAAGCGAGAAACAGCAGTCTCTCTTTATGAACTCATCAGAGCACTGAATAGCCACAGGATTGTGATAAAGTGCGTCTGAAAGATGCTGAGTTCTCTGAAGGTAGAGACGTATGAAGCCACAGAGAATACAAAGAGAAGACTATTGGGACAGACTGAAGTGCTGACAGACTGGGAGTTTTAAGTTCAAACGGGTGTCAGCACTTGAAAGTGCTTGAGAAGCTCTTGTTGGGCCCTGGGACATGTAGGCAAGCACTAGTACAGAATACAGAACAGTTAAGAGAGAAATATTAGGTGATTACTGGTAACATGACAGTAACTTTGAAAAAAAAGTCACAGACAATATGGACTTAAGCGTAGAGACACGTTAACAAGGTAAAACAATCTTTACTGATACAACTGCTCTGAAAAGAGATCCTCAGGAACCTCAGAACCACGGATGATGTGAGGTAGAGTACTTGAATTCAGTGGCTGTTTAAATTGTGAACAATTTAATTGTGAACAATTGAATGTGCAGCACAATTTTCCCTATTTTTATTATTGTTAATGTTCCTTGTTCAAAGTATTCTACCGATGTTTCTGTTATTTTCCATTCTTTTTTTTTTACTCAAAGAGAAAATGTGGCAATGTTTGTGACAATTAATTTTTTTATGCATGCACAAAGAAGTTTTTCTAGGGAATTAATCCAACTTTTTATTAAACTCTACCCCAATATATTTGAGATAGACAGTGCTGATGTTCAGTAGGTGCTGAGATTGTAAATGGGGAAATGCTTTGTTGAAAATACTTTTATAAAAGGTAGGCGTATAGCATCTTGCAGCAAAACTGTGAGGATTTAAGCAATGAATTATGATTTACCTACCTGGCGCAAGGATAATTGCCACACTGTTGCTGAGAACGAACACTGCCTTGCCATATACTGTATCTTTATAAATTCTTAATACTGAAAGCCTCTTGAAGGCAACCTTTCAGCAGGTTGAACAGCCATAAATCTTTTCAAAGTCCTGGCTGAAAAGGAAATTAAATCATTCAGCTTTTTTTTTTACCACAAAAAGTTTCCATGGAATGGCGTTATATGTAGTATGCATGGATAGTGTGGAAATCTAACGAAAATAACTTGCACTGTTAATGGTAGAACAGATTGTTGAAACTAAACGGCGTGAATCAGGTTTCACTTGTGAAAAAATGAATGCACAGAGGCAGACTGACTCCAGGACAAACAACTGTGAAATCCCTTGTTATTCAGCTTGGTTGCACTAACTGTTCATGGCAATGCATCTCACCAAGTCTCCTCTAGACTCCACACAGCCCTGAAGATGCTGATCTTTTTTACTAGAGTGGTTGTAAGGCCTTAGAATTTACAGCAGTGAGCTATTAGATGCCCTTGGGCAGTCAGCTATTGTAGAAACAGGAATTTCCCTGTTGTGTTAATGAGATGGATAAGCGGGGGGGTTTTCTGCAACATTTCAGGCTTAGATGTGCAATACAAGCATTTTACAGGAAATGATTGGCAGCTGGCACGCTCATCACATCTGGAAATAAAACTGTTTTGTAGACAAAGGGTCACAAATTGAAGCCAAATTCCATTTTGGAGTGTAATTGATGACTAGAGCTAAATATGTATTACTAAAAGACTTGTCAACAGCTAAAATGTCTGGGTTAATTCAGCATTAATGTAACACTTGAAGTGAAAGCAATGATTCAATTAGTGTAGTTTTATGATGATGAAAGGCTGGTGATTTTGAAATGGAAAAGCACATCAGCCAAAGGTTTTTGGACTGGCTGGGGTCTGACTTAATATTTGCGGATAAGGATATTAAACAAATTATGTTTTATTTTTACAAGGTCTCCAATAAAAAACAAGCACATCGAGGAGATGACATTAACCATAAAATGCTACGATTCATTCTATGCTACTCCCCTAACTACTCCCCTAACGGCAGGAACCATGAAAACTCGTAAAGCCAAGGACTTTTTGTTGTCTTGAATAAAAAAGAAAAAAGGTCTTCACAGGAGAAATCTCTTCAGGCTGCAACATCTCCAATTTTTTTGCAGGAAATATACAATGTTGGGTGGTTATTTGCTGTAAAATACCAATACCATCTTCTTTAGTGTTTTAATGTAATTATAACAACATGAATATTTGATTCTGGAAAGTAATATATGACATTGTATATGCATTTGTTCAGGCAATATAAAAAAGATAAATGTAATATTTCTTTTCAGGAGCTCAAATATATTCAGCAACAAAACAAATCTTTGAATGCGACGTGGGTTGAATCACTTTGATGGAAACTGAAAATGTGTGCATTTTCATCTTTGATGATTTTCTCTTTGCTTTAAAATCAAACAGCAGCTCAGTCTCCCCTGCATTTATTTAGATTTCTGAGGAAGCCACGAATGGATGAAATTACATTTTCAGTTATCTGAAGTTTTGTGGAATTATCATTGTTTTGGGATATGATAATTTTGTTCAAACTAAAACTGTCTAGAATACAAAACGCTGCCTCTGAAACAATGGATGAGAAGAGATGATTGTGTACCTCACAGAACTGCTTGACAGAAGGATTGTAGAATTTGGAGGGAAATTCTGCACCCTCACCTGATTCATGACACCTTGAATAGAGTAAACATTTAAAACCTGACAAAATGTGCTGCTCTCACCCTGCAGCCACTACAGCTAACGCTTGTGGAAGAGTGATAATATTTTCACGGCACGAAAAAGATATTTAGAAATCCAGCATCTGCAAAATAAAAGCTGAGAACTTTTATTTTCAGAAAGAACTGATGGCTGGAGTGAATACTGATGTGCTAAAGATGAAGTGGGTGTTTGCCGCACTCTTTATATCTAATGTTTGTATCCTGAATTTGAATAATATTTAAAGTGTGTCAATATTTCACGAGCAAATGCTGATGTTTTAGTGTTAGTGTGCAGGAGCTCGACACTTACAGCTGGACCGGGAGGGCCAACCACACCCTGGAGACCACTTGGGCCTGGGGGACCCTAAAGACAAAGAAAATAAAATGTTATGCAAAATGGACGTTATGCACGACGTATCAGCGGTTTGGGTTTGAATTCTGATTGTTTTAAATAAGCAGTTGCATGCTGCAGCTGGCCATTATCACCAAAAACCCTTTAACTGAAAGAAATAAAAAGCCATTTCAGGTGAAATGACGTTAGTTAATATTTAATATCAGCTACAGAACAAACCGAGCAGGCAAATTCTTTTTGAGTTATTATCAGCTGTATTACGTTCACACCAGAAATAGCACCTAAGATTAGTGGTCTTTGTTCACTTATCTTGTATCATAATTTAAAACTAGATTACAAAATGTAATAGAAAGAGGTTTGGGAGGGAAAGACTCACAAGTTCACCCTTGTCTCCTTTGCTTCCCTTCTGTCCAGGTCCGCCAACTTCTCCCTGTGGTGCCACACACACACACACACACACACACACACACACACAGTCAGAAAATCTCACAATCATCCACCTTAAAAAGCTGGCCTTAAGTCCAATATCTTAAAGTGTCACCTTTACCATGATTGGGCAGTAAATATTTTTCGAGAGATTCTAATTTGATTGGCCCAAAAGGACCTTGGGGGAGTGTTTGCAATTAATTGATTAGCTCCTTGTCTCACCCCGTTGGCACAATGATTGACAAAAAGGGATGAAGGAAGACGTGACTGGGATTGAAGTGCTGTGATGATTGCAGATGTAAATATGCGGATCTGCGGTTTAGATTATATATTTTGGTTGTGAAGGCATTGCAGACTTCAGGGTAAACAAGGTATTTCGGTATAAGTTTCAGCGATGTATTCATTTGCATTTGGAAAAAAATAAACTGTATGCTCATTTTGTTTTCAAAGTGCAACATTTTATTCTATTAGGAATGAGACTTTCTGCCAAAACAATCCTGAGTCTAAGCGGAAAATTCCAATTGTGCGTAGAACAGTGTGTAATTTCTATGTGTATATTACCTGCTGTTTTTTTTAAAGAATATTGTCGTGGCACAAGAGCAACAATATGAGTCTGAAATAGTCATGCTGCTTAGCTGGTTGCTTCAGTACTTCCTTTTTGCAAGGAACACTATAATTTCTAAGATCTCAATAACTAGGAGATAAAAGTTGAGGATGCTTGAGTAAAACTCCTTTGAATAAGCTTTTTATGTTTTTTTTAAAAACACATTCTGTAAGAAGTACCCTTGCATAAAAGGTTTTTCAAGTGTTTCACTTTTGCTCTACCTTGTCACCATCCTCTCCAGGGGGACCCTGAGGACCAGCGGGACCAGGAAGACCTACAGGACCTTGAATACCATCACGGCCAGCAGGACCCATGGGGCCTTTCTCTCCCTTCAAATAACATTGGTCACAATGATGTGAAGACACAGCAATAATTTCAGCTTGGAGAAATGTTTCACTAAGTTGTTAAATGTAGATATTTAACACTCACAGGTGCCCCCTTTTCTCCAGCAGGCCCAGGTGGGCCTTGTGGGCCATTCCGTCCAGTAGAGCCAATGGGACCTCCAGGACCAGCAGGGCCTCTTTCACCGGGGGAACCCTGTCACCAAAGACCCAAGAGCTGTTAATAATGGGAAGTTTACCAGAAGAAACACATTCTTGGAAGTTTTTGTAAGGTCAAACTGTGCTTTTCAAACCATTAATAGTCTTTCTACATTTGAAACGCAACAGACTTGGAGAAACCAAGTGTAACCCGGTTAAAACATTGAGCACTATTAGAAAGGTTCTTAAAAGGTTCAAATTCATTCAAATTAATGGCCGGGTTACACAAGTAACACAATTTTCTCAGAATAGGTCCAAAACAATTTGAAGTTTTGAGGGTATTCACATCCAAATCGGGTAAATTATTAAAGATCAGCAGTGCTTAATTGTGTTAAATTTTCTTTTTAAAGCATAAAAAAGACATTTTCTCAGTGGTTTTTGTTCTGTCATTTGGGAGTTGTTCAGTAGAATTTGATGTAGTGCAATCAAAGCATATCTGAGCAATTGTTTAGCTATATATTCAGGTTAACTCAGAAAAATTCAAAGGGCCTGGATATTTGAAGGACACAGTAGTGGTGACAGTAGTGGTGCAGAATTATTTCCATAATCAAAGAAAGTGTAGAACACCTTGCAAGATGTATGCATGTCATTTTTGTCCCAAAAAAATGCTTGATTCCAGAAGGCCCACCACAGACTGCAAATCATTCAGAAATATTTAAATGATCAAAGAAAATCAGTGTGGATTTAAAAAGTCTGCACTAGAATCAGTGGGGGACAAAAGCACAGTTTAGCAATGTTAAACTTCCTTTATCAGTAATTCTAAATTTAATGAAAACCTTTCAGATTTTTTCAGGATTTAAGTGTTTACTGTCAGTTCCGACAGCCTTTGAGAATGACAATTATTTTGTTATGTAAACCAATATCTGACTTCCTCTGTCTGCCTTATAGTAAGGTCCAACCATTATTTTCTTATCACCCTACTTCTCACTCTTCAGCATAAAAATTATTAGGACATCCACCTTTCCCGGATCGATCCTAAATGGCTTACGTGTAAAATTAGATAAACATTTAAGGCCATCGTTTTGACCTGATTTCACTATCACACACTGATATCACACGCTGCTGCTAAGAGCTGCTGGCTGGCACTCATACGTCTGGCCTATTTCATGACCAACATTGCTGGTGACACACTCACACTGTTTCACACTGTTGATCGAACTTGCCAAGCCCCCAACTATGGGACAAAAACACACCGACTCACACAGAGACACATACCAGCACATGAGCTGTTTCTCTCAAATAACTTCTCGATTTTTTCAAACAGTTTTCCTTCCACTTATTTAACTGATGTCCTTCTCCCCCCCATACGTTTAATCCTTGGGTTAGTAGCAGAACTCACAACCACACAAATATATACAGGCACACAACCCACAACCCACAGCCTTCACTCTTTCTGTTATCTTTTTTCTTCTTTTCTTTTTTGGCCTGTCTCTTTCAGAAACACACAGGCCTCTAAAAAGACAATGAAAAGTCTCTCTCTCCCTCTCTCTGTCTCTCCCTCACAGCACTCAGACTTTCCAGCTGCACAACAGCAGCTCGATCTCTGGCAGGAAATCGATGGAGGAAAATATCAGATCTCTTGTGTGCGTGGGCATGGCAAACTGGCTTCTCTTTTCTTCCAATCACTACGAAAACAGTTTATCACCTGTACTCAGGCGATGGCTCACTTTCAAGCCAATTTAAGAAAACTATCTCATTTCACAGTGGAAATGGTTTCAATCATGCCGAAGACGTCCCTCTTCCTACTTTCATCATCTTTTCATCCCTGCTCTGCATATCCGCTGTCACCAAATCGCTGTCGCTGGTGAGCATGTGGCAATTATCGAGAGTCTGCGTTTAACGCTTGAACAAAATGTCAGACAGTTCAAAGCTGCCTGTCAGTCAACTTTCAGCACACAATCTCCACCAGAGCTCCCGGAGCTTTTCATTGCATATATGTCTAATCCAGGGGCTGAAAAAGTGTCCCTCTCTTTGGCGGATTACCCTGCCACGCCTTCCCCTCCTCTGAGAGGAGGTCTGACTCGACGCATAGCATTATACAGGGCGATTTCAGCTCTGGTGCATAAGAGGAAGTCATCGTGCTTTGATACTTGGCTAATTGCTAGATTTAAGTGCCCGGCTTCACCGAGGCAAAAATATCTCGGTGCATAGAATGAGATTTTCATTATGTCGAATTTTTCTAAAAGTAAGAGTCACACAAAATCTCGAAAAGTGAAAGAAATGAGACGTAAACTACCTCCATCTGTGCCAAAACAGTTGCCATAGCAACTGTAAAGTGTGAGTATAAAACATCTATGCCCAGTCAAGCAACAGGGATGACACAAGTTGTTCTTCAATTATGTAATTAAGCAGTGATTAGGCCATGCTTCACAGCAACACAGGGCAATAAGACATTAAATCGAGCAGCAAGATGCCTTATATCAAACTGTGGTTTTCATAACTCTGTCTACTGTCTTTATCAGTATAAAACTAAAGAGTTTGCCTTCTTCTAATCAATAAAATAGCACGATTTAGGTATAGATTTAAGTAAACTTGTAACACGTCAAGATCAAAACTGGAGGAAGCCGGTTGAAACAAACAAAGTTTTGTTTTTTTAGCATGGGATGTTACTAATATAGTGACCCAAAAAGTTTTGACAGTTACTCTTCCAGTGTCTACTTTTGAATGGCTTCAGTCACTCCTTTCTGACAGTTTCCACGCTGCAGATTTCCCTGAATGTGCTGCTGAATGACCAGAGAGTGGAGCTGTGCACAGCGTGTGCAGCTCCATTTTCTAAACGCACAAGTCGCTTTTCGTCTAAAACCTCTGTAGACAGAGAGATGAGGTAACCATAGAAACAGGCTACTTACAATGGGGCCAGGCGGACCCTGAGGACCTTCTCCTCCCTTTAAGCCAGCTGGACCCTGAAAGCAGAGAACAGGAGATTGTTAGATATTGCCCGCTGTGGGCCGCCACTTAATGCTATTCAAAGAGCAGCTGTCAAATGGCTCCTCAAATACCCTGTGCATGTACATGTGCATGCACATACATATTTGTGTATAGATATGCGAGAACGTCTGTGTGTGAGAATGTGTGTGAGGAGGGTCTGGATTCAGAAAGACACAGAATAACTGTCAGTGTGCTCATATATAACTGATATATGGTGTTCAATTAGGATGAAAAGGCATCTGTAATACAAGAGTCTTTTTATGTACATAAGTGGAGAGTATGTTTAATCAAACAAAGTGCCCCATCAAAATAATTTGATTGGACAAAATATGCAGCATGTTTTGATGGCATGTTATTTTTTTAACAATGGAAAGGCGAGGAATGTCATCGGTGACACCATGAACCTAAAAGACAACATTTATCGATTGGATTTTCAAATTGGCCCTGAAGGGTTAACCAATTTCTATGTAAAATTAGATTAGCTTAAAACAATTCAAAGTAAACACTGGCTAATGTGTTTGAATAGGGGTTTGTGCACGAGAGTCAAGTCCGACTTGGTGTGGTCAGAGGGCTAAATGGAGAAACAGACGGTTTCCTTTTGAGTGAAGAAGAACAATTTACATATCTAAATAGTGCCACTTTAGATGGTTGCAGGAACCTTGTTGATTTAAGATGCTCAATACTGCCACACTGTGTTGCAAACACTGTTTTCAAATCTGTTATGGACGTTCGGTAGTTGAGAAAGCCTAAAAAATTGTGTGTTCTGAGGTGGCATTGCATTAACATCCATTATCTGCTTGTTTAAGCCTCTGTGAACCTTCGTAGGTTTAAGGTATTATACTCTGTATCCTGGTGCCCTCACTCTGAGGAGGATTTAGTTTTAGCTTACCAGGTAGGAAAGCTGCTGACTCACCAAAAAAAGTGCAATCTGACTACTGATGGTAAAACACTAACTACCCCTATACCCCACCACCACCAAAAATGCATGTGTCTAGGGGAAACAGCTAAGACATTAAATTAAATCTTATTGTCGGATCTATTGCAAGAGGTTCCTAATGTCCCCAGAGAATCTGATTCCAAGTTCACAACTCCACAAGTATGTCGAAAAATATACAGAACTGATTTACTCTGCTTTAAAAATGTTAACGTGGAGACAGCAGACATAAACGCTCATTTCAAAGTCTTCCAAACATTTAATTAGTCTGCTGCTCATTTCTTCCTCCCAAAAAAATCCTTTATTTAATAAGTTATGATTTGGCGTATTTATATTATTAATGTAACGGGACCTATTAAATGAGCTTCAAAAGAAATGAAAAAATGGAAGAGATGAAAAGGCGCTGAGGCCCTTGATGAGGTATAGTCCATCTACCTCTAGCCTCTTGTCATCTCCTTACGTTTCCAGGCCTTTAATGGTAATGAGGGTGCTGAATCATTGGATAAAGAGGCGGAGGCATGTATAGAAAATATATGTCATCATGGGCGGTAAAGACTTTTATTATAATAACTAATTTACAGGTCGCAACCGAGGCAGGGGGTGCGGAGGCTGCCAAGCAGACTCTCCACCTCTCTGGCATTTACATTTCTCTAGAGCACATTAAGAGAGTAGATGCATCTTTCTTTGCTGGCCACAAAAAGGTGCTTATTGCCTCTGTGTCTTTCCTCACAGCAGAGATAAATAGTGTGTGCACAGCGATGTGAGTGTGTGTCTAATAACAGAAAAATAAACTGTATTTACATTCACTTTCTTTAAAAACATTTCAAATGATTCTTTTTTTCACTTATAAAATAGGTGCCCTGGGTTCCACAATGTAAAATTGGGTTGATTTGATGTTCACCACTACAACAGAAGCGTGGGATGATGTGTTTGTTCCTCGGCAGTGTGTATGCTTTCTTTATGATGGAAAAGCTATCCTTCTACACACATGGGACACACACAATGGGTGTAATAAGTCTGGCCAATGCTGTCGTGTGCTCTCCTAATGGTAAGCCTTGAAATGAGTTCTAGCCACATTCCCTCAAGCTAAACCTCAGTAAGCCTCTAATAGCCATCCGCTCTCACCTTGAACTTTTTCTAAACTCACACCCACTGCTTCTGAGAAATAACACAGGCCTCTCAGCAGGCTAGTATGCATGTGATGTAGTCACAACATTGTGGGTTTGAATTGGAATCAAGAGGCTCTGACTCATTCTTTATTGAAAGCAAAAACAAGTCTCCCTAAAAGAAAATATCATTCACAAGAATAACTTTAGATGAGAAGAAACGGGCCCCTATAATGCAGGCAGCTGATTGGAATGCTATTTAATGACAGAAATGCTTTTCCAAAGACATTTTAGCAACAACTTACCACAAAACTACTGATCTTAATAAGAAATACGTGTCAATATTGTGTCTGGATTAATCCCTTTATTAGTGCTGTGTAAGCCAATTCTGCACCTTTAAGTCCAGTCCACTGCCAAGCCTGACATTTGGTTTAACAGCAGGTTGTTTGTCTGGTAATTGGAGTTTGGAGCTAAATTCAGCTCTGTGCATGCTCAGGATGTGGTATAGCGCACTTGTGTGGGCACATGTGAGGATGTTTGCTGAGGTGTTTGTCATAAGGGAGGTAAGTGTGTTACCATGGCCCCTGGAAGACCTCTCGCTCCTTGGAAACCCCTCAGTCCAGCAGGTCCCACTTTGCCAGAGGGACCGTGAAGACCTGGATCACCCTACAAGAGGGAGAGAGAATAATCCCAATAAGTTATGAGGAACCAGTCACCATAAATGTGTAGGAAAACAGTGAAATAATCAAAACTGGGTTATTTAATATTGGCTGAAATACACATAATAATGATCTTTTATCCAGACAATCTTAAGTACAGTGACACATGGTTCAGGGGTAAGAACAAAATAAAAAGTGCCTTTCTCACAAATTAAACAAAAGTAACAGTTTTCCCTTGACTGAATTGTTTTTTCTTTTGATCACTTCCATTCTAAGCATTACAGTGTAATTTTGTTAAAGCTGAGATAAAACATTGAGAATGAGAAGCATTTTAAAACAAGTATTTGAGTGTAAATTACATCAAACAAGTCAGAGTTAATGCCGGCTCAAGTTCAGAGAAAACAAAGAACAGAAAAAAAAGTAATACAGCTATTTATAATGACAAAAATACCTCAAAATATCATCAGAATAAGCTAAACGAGAAGGACATAAGACAATAGGTTCAAGTATATATGTCACACATGAATGGCTTTGGATTAAAACAGCATAAAACATGCATACTTCACCTTTCCACCCTCTTTTCCAGCAGCTCCTGGTAGACCTTGCTCTCCAGGTGGACCAGGGGATCCTGGGTGTCCCCGTTCTCCACTTGGTCCTGTCTCTCCAGTTGGTCCCTATACGGACAACATAGACATGTTAAGATCTATGTGCTTTAAGACCATATAAAGTACCACCTACAATGACCAGTACCATAACGGTAAAACCATGTTGATAAATTAAAATGCTATCTTATTCATTATGGATTGAATAATCTGCACCTCATGATGCCACCTACATCTGTTTTAATGAGACAAACCCTTTAACGTTTCCATCATTGCTTTATCACATAAAAGAAAAAAATCACAATAACTTCAAAATATGCATACGTAAACAAACATATATTACAAATATGTCTTTGAATATGTACCTGAGGCCCAACCACCCCTCCAGGTCCTGGAGGTCCAGTTTTTCCTTGGAACCCCTGAAAAGGCAAACAAAGATTTGACTGACTGTGACCTGGCTCTTTGTTGTAGACTCTACAACAGATTTCACTTGCTGAGATGTTTTCCATGTCTATTGAAGAGGATCTACAGTATATTTCCACAGAGAGTCATTGCATAAATGTTGATGTTTGTTTGTCAGTGGTACGCACTGTGAGCTCTTCCAGCATGTCGGGACATTGTGACAGCAACCAGTAGTCACAAATTCAATCAAATGCGCTGAATTCAAAATGATCTTGTACTTGGAAATCAGATGAATAACTGAATAGCATTCAAATGGGCTTTATCTGTTGTTTCAGTATAGTTAGATAATGTAGTGATGAACAGCATTTTGCAGCATTGTCAGTTGTCTATGCAATTATTATTTTTTTTCTGGATGTTTTAACTGTAAGAATATTCATTTTTGCTGTGGAAATGTCCACTCTCTGCTGTTGACTATTTTGCAATAATTTAACTAAAATGCTCTACTTGTTTAATATATTTATCAATTTTGTTTTCAGTAATTAACATTTTAGGCTGAAACAACTTTTCCACTTCCCGTCTCTCTGCTTTAGCCAGCAGCTGCTCATATATGTGCAGACAAAAATATAAACAGATTATCATAATAACCCATTTTTAGTTAACAGTTACTTCAGTCCCTCCATATATTTTTGTAATGTGGCTAATAATCTTTGATAAAATCTGTAACCATTAACTGCATACTCTTGTCCATTAACAACATTCTACTTCCTTTCCCTTGCTTCAATTTTGCTATAATTTTTGTCTTTAATCCTGCAATCCTGCTGATTGTTGGTGAAAATGACAAGATTAGTTTTTATAGCAAACAAATACAACCAAATCTTTGTGGAAAGGAAAACCATCTTTTTGCAAAATACACAAAGCCTAAATTGCTAATTGCAGCAATTCTGAGTAAAATGGTTTTCTAAAATTGAAATGCAGTCACAACAGCCTTCTGAGACACCCAAACACCTCATGCCCGGCTTTAAGACTTTAAGAATTATTCATGCACGGCGCTAGCCACACACCGTCTCTCCCCGTTGTCCAGGATGACCGGGCAGTCCGTCTTTCCCAGGTGGGCCCTGAGGGTGCACAGGTAGACAGATTAAGTAAAACAAGAAACCAGGTGTGCATTAATATTTGAAAATCTCGTGAGTAGAGTGTCAGCATGGCTGTCGACGGTGTCAGCTCACAGTTTGACAGCATCTACTTACATTAGGTCCTTTGGGTCCAGGGAAACCAACAGGTCCCTGTGGTCCTTGAGGTCCCTTAAATGGAAAGAATAATAATAAGAGAGGATGAGAACATAATCAGAATTCATTCACAAATAACCTGACAAAATCCCCTTCAATTTCATCATGTTTAAGAAATAATTCTCTTTTGCCTTTTCCAAGCTGGATGACCTTTGAATTTGATGTGACAAAAAGCTGAATCTCACTTTGTGCTTAGATTATAAAGCTACAATCCAGAGTAGTGATCAAATAAATCTAATGCTAACCCGCTCTCCTGGTGGGCCAGGAGGTCCATCATTGCCTGAGGTGCCCTGAGGAGAAAAACACAGAGAAATGTTGTGAGCTTTGTCACAACTGTCTGGCTCTGAAACAGGATCAAAACTCATGCAAAGCTCTGACGTTCACATGTACAGTATTTCTACATGATGTCAAAAAAGTGACTAATATGATAGAAGACAATTAGTTTTTCTCCTTAAGTCTCACCTTTGCACCTGGCTTCCCTGTTGGTCCTCTCGCGCCTCGTCCTCCTCGTGGACCCTGTGTTATATGAGCATACAGGAACAAAGTAAAACATCAGATCAAGAAGCTGCAGAAATGTCAGTAAAGAGGATTTTCAGCCATCCCAGCCTCTCTAAAAGCTATGGTGCATACTTCTTCAAAAAAAGACAAACAACTCTTATACAAGCATAGAAGAGATGAAAGTTTCATCTAAATATTATAGACAGTGGTTTTGTTCTTACCGTTGGGCCACGTTGCCCCCTTGGGCCTGATTTGCCAGCAACTCCCTGTGAAAAAGAAAATATAAAATGTTTGATTTTAGGCAAAATAATGCTTTGTACCAGTACCCAGTGCGAATGCTTCAAATGCTCTATTCAGACGTAACAGCTGAGAAAAATGTTATAATTCTGTATATATTGAGCACCGGGCAGCGTGCAGCTGCAGAGGGAGTCAGTGGCATCAATAAAACAGAACCATCTGAGTGCCTTTGGTGGAAAATAAATAATCAAACTGCTGTGGTAAGTGGTTACCCGCCGGCACCTAGAAGATACAACTACCTGTCAGTTCTGAGGCCAGGCATGTGTATGTCTGAGTGTCTGTGTGCACAGATGAGCTTGTCTCGTTGATAAAAACCCCCATCAATCAACGGCCCTCTCTCTCATCTCTTCACCTGTAACCACTATTTGCCTGAGCCTTGTGTCAACCTGTTGGAAAGCCCCCTACATATATACATATACATGTGTATATGTGTGTGTATGAAGAAATTTGTGTCTCTGAGACCTGATGTTCAAACAATCTAATTTAACTTCTTTTTGATCAGTAGGAAAGCTCTCAGTGACTGAAAGTTTTTGTAGAAAAGAATTTTGCTCACCCTGGCTCCTTTTTCGCCATTGGATCCAGGAAATCCAGGGAAACCATTGGAGCCCTGCAAGGCAAGTAAAGAAAGAAATGTGAAAAGGGTGACAGAAGGGAGGATTACATTAATAGTGAAGGGAGCAGAATAATAGAGGACAACAGTCTACATGTCACTGAGACTGAGTAGGAAATAGGATTCTCTTTGCACTGTCTGGAGAAAGGCTAACTAACATAGACTGTGTAAAGCCATTACCTCCCAAAAATAGACAAATAAGCTGAGGGCTTGTTATCATAGAGCTACAGTTTATAATTTTGTTTTCCTATGGAAAAATTAGAAACTTCAAAGGAGGCAAAGGAAAAGTCTCCGTCATTTAGGGACACAGACCGGTGTAACTGTTAGGTTGTTAGCACAGGGAAAAGCCAAAATGAGAAGATAAAAAAAATGAGTAAATAGAGACAAAGGACAGGAAAACAGTGGATCCCCTTCGATACCCATCAGCAATTTAGTTACCGGGCTTTTGGAGGCTGTGCTCACTGATAGTGGTGATGGTGCCAGTCAAACAAACACTAGCAAGGTAATCATAGTTGGGTAAAAGTACCAAACAGCTTATGAATACAGCATACTGAATTTATGCAGAACTGGGCAGCATTAACAGGCTAGACCATTCTAAGCTAAACATATCTCAGTTTATCTGCTAACTTTATGTGTGTACCTCAGTATTTCCAGAGTAAAACATTCTCTGAGGCAGTACACATCTACATTACCCATTACTGTCCACGTGCAAATGCATGTTAAGCATAATGCTGTGCATCATAAGCATGGAATTGCAAGAGGTGAACTGCCAAGCATTGTGCAGACACCAGGAAAGGGAGATCTATGCTACTTAATTTGTTTTTCACAGAGGTGCAGTTACCATAAACTGAGAAGAGAGCTGGTACTGGACAAGCATGACTTGTTCCACAAAGATAAGGCAGTTCACTGAAGCTCTTTTTTTTTTTTTTTTTGGTTTCAAATGGCACCGAGAATTAACGATGTGGGAAAGCTGTTAACAGAGAGTGATGGGGTGCAGCAGCCAAAAACACAGTCGGTGGAGGGATTTGCGGGCAGGCTGATTGAGGGGGGGATAAAGGCTGCCGCTGGGCCAAAACTTTGACCCTGAAGCTACACACGAGGACATTGTGACATTTTATAACACTGATGGCACTTTGAAGTGGAAGCGTGGGTTTTGTTTGGTCCTGTTTTGCATAGCAAAAGGTTTATCGCCCTTCTAACTACAAAGGTTTTTCACTTGTGGTGATGGAACCATTTAAATAACCATTCATACCTTTTTTATGTTAAAAAGGATGTCAGAATTTTCAAACTCAGGGGTTCTCACTTTTCACTTAACTATACTGATGCAAAAAAAGAGGAAATGGTGCCACTTTTTTAACTGCCTTTTACAGTTTCTCTAACAGCAGGTTTTTTTGGCAGACTTTTGCTCTTGGGCCTCTGAAGGAAACTTTTCTTTTCAAATGCTTTTGCATACAAAGAAACAGTTGTTATTACATTATTCTTAATAAATATTTTACAGCAACAAAATGTGTGGATATGACCATTCGAAACCATGCATACAGTAAAGTAAAGTAAAAGGAATTGAAAGAAAAAAAACATGACATGGAGCCCTGGATTTATTAAAATAGAAAAATAGCCTTTATTTCTTTTAATTTAATCTGTTTAATAATTTGCGTTACACCCTGAACTCGGGTTTTGCTGACACTGACGGGCCGAGCTGGAGCCCATCTGAATGGTGTGAGACTAGGTCACATCGATGCCCCGATGTCAGCGCTGACCGCAGCAGAGAGGAACCAGCTGCAGCAGCACATCCTGACAGTGGGGCAGTGGCAAAATGTTCAGCCCTACAGTAAAAAGGGCTGCCAGACTCTTTGAAAGTGCCTGAAGTGTGAGGAGGAAGACAGCTGATGACTACAGCAGATGCTTCACAGTCATAGTGGTAGTTTTCTCTCTGGGAAAGTACCTGTGGCTCTAAGGGTTTTTCAGTAGACTCAAGAAAGAAAGATGAGTGTTAATTTAGAAATAGGTGGAGAGCGATTCCTGTTGTTTAGGTAAAGGTTTGTAAATTTTCAAAAGAGCAAATACAGAAAAAAGCCATGCACTTAACTCCTTGTAGAACATGGTCCTCACATGCAAGTGCGTGGATACAAACTGGCCATTAATAAGACTTGAATATGGAGGGACAACAGAAAGATTTGCCACCCTGCTGGGTTGTCAGACATTTCTGAAGCCAGTAGTTCTATCATATGCTATTGTTCCGAGTAAATGTTTTGGTCCTGATGCAAGAAAAGAGCTTCCCCCAGATATTTCTTTGTAATAATTTTCTGCTTTCTTCAGGAGAGACAACTAGACTCTGATCACATACCTTGGGGCCTTGTCTCCCAGGGTACCCCGGCAGTCCAGGGACTCCAAGTTTCCCCTGAATGAAAAATAAAGAATTGTAAATATTGTAAAAACAAAAACAACAGTGTGATGTGAAGTGTTGAATTTGGCTTGGGAGAGTATTGACATTATATATAATATTTCTAAGTTCTAGTGTAAACTTTAACAGAAGAACTTAAAGGGATTGATCTCCTACCTTCTCTCCTGCTGAGCCTATGGGACCAGCTTCTCCATTGGGTCCCGACGTGCCCTTGGGGCCTTCGGGGCCATCCTCCCCTCTGGGCCCCAAAATGCCGCCTTCGCCCTGAGTACATTCAAATAAATTAAATAAATAGAAAAAGTCTTGTCTCTTTGCGACTGAAAACTTAAGCTTTCTCTTTAAAGGGGATTGCTTACCTTGTCACCTTTAAGGCCCATGTCCCCTTTAAAGCCAGGGAATCCATCTTCTCCCTTTAAGTGAAAGAAAACAAACAGGTTGAAACACTGTTTTTGTCTTTTCCCTGGGCTATTTTACATCTCAGCTACCATATCTAGTTACCATATCTAAATTTTGTCATTATCTATGACACAGAAACATATTTTAAATGTTAAAAATACAAATCCAGTATTTCATACTGTCATCTACCTTTCATTTAAGAGAACCTTGAACGATACAGGCAGATTTAGAAGATTTGCCTTTTCGCCTTTCCATTTATGTGTCTCTTTGCTGACACCTGGTGGTGAATGCTGTGAATGCACTTTTTTCATTTTTGTTTCATAAAACTTTTTTTTCCTATAAATTGTATAATGATGCATTTTTTTCCTGACATTGTTTCACACATGACATCCCTCTGACTAAACATACAGTATGATTGAATTAATTTTTTCTTCATGCTTATTGTGCAGCTTGTGTGCCCTGACTAGACATGTTGATTTTGTGAGATGAAGTATCAAAATGGAATACGATTTAACAAAACATTCAATATATTCAATTAATCTCTCATTAAATTCCTAACAATACAGAGAAAATTTCACAAAGAGCTGGCAAACAAGGAACGATCTGCCAATTTTGTCTGAGAGGCAATGAGATCAATCACCTCAGGGAAACTACATCACAAAACAACTTAATTCCACTTTAATGTACCACACTCCATTTAGTCTCAGAGGCATGAGGATTTAACTGCCTGCCTGAAAGCACTTTACAACTTTTTCCACTTGCTGGATTCAAAGGAAGGCTCATTTGAGAGGGAATTACAACTCCAATGGGCCCTTTTCTGCAGGACTGACATCTGTCAGCCATGTTGAGGGAAAAATGGGAGATTGAGAGGTTTGTACCTTTTCACCTTTGTCACCTTTAAGGCCTCTAATTCCTTCAGCGCCCTGGAGAGAATGAAAAATTCCGTCAGAATGAAATACATGGAAAATATCGATTGAATTTGTCAAAGCTTCACAAGGACTTTTGTCGCTCATACTTTAACACCACGAGGCCCAGGATAGCCGATGGATCCCATGGGACCAGGAAACCCCTGCAAACAGGGAAGCCATCTTAAACTCAATTTGCCACCTTTGGAAATGTCTTGGAAATATAAGTCACATGTTCATCAATTTGTATAAAGTCATTCGTCATCCATAAAGATGTGTAGGTCAGAGCACTGTGTTTCCATTCCCTTTGCAGAATAGTGTATACATTTTGTGGTAAGTTGATTTACTTAGTGTTGGGTTACTTTTGACAAATCTACATGAATAACTGAATGAATAGTTGAAAGTAAAATTGTTTCAAAGTAAATAATCTGGTTCAACTCACAGCTGTTCCTTTCTCGCCTGGAGGACCCTCTTTGCCTGGATGACCCTAGAAAAGCAGATTTTACAAATTGTAAACTTTGTATTTTCACAAGACAGAAGTCTAAAAAAAAGACATCAGATGTGTTATTTACGGGAGGACCATCAGCTCCGCCAAGTCCAGCTAGACCCTGTTTCCCTTGAGGTCCCTACAAAGAAAGCAATAAATACAGACAGGCAGTCAGACAAGACGACATATGATTAAGAGATCGACATATATCCTAAAAACCACAACAAAAATGCTTTCCATTTGACAAAGTAACAGCTTATGGTGCGTGCTTCTTGTGCGTGTTGCTGCCTTAAGAGAACCCAGTTAGGGCCTAAAGCTCTCAGCCACAAATCTGCAAAATCACTTATGAGGTCTTGTCTGAAACATGCATTTATCTGAGCTGGAGAGAAGTGGGGGAGGGCGGAAAGAGTGTTTGGGTTCCCTCTTCACTTACTTTTTCACCAGGAGGCCCAATTGGACCTTGAGGACCAACAAGACCCTGAAAGACAAAGGAAACAGAGGTACTATAAGGACAAAATTATGCTTTACTTTTTGTTAATACCTGTCAAGTCAGTTTAGCAAGCCCTATTCTGAAGAAGCACTATATTTGTAATATATTGTATAACATAAGGTATATTTGGAAGACTTCCTTACGCTTGAACCTAACCTGTTCTGAACAACAAATTGAGCTAAAGTGAATGTAATAGGATGGATTATTTTCCAATGGATCGATGCCTTTGCTGGAAAGTATTAATGTGGCTTTGGCCAGGTACACCTACAACGAGTTATTCATTCAACCCATATACCATCAGGACAGTCTCCTGCTCATTCTGTCCGAGGCATGACGCCATCCAGTTCACACTGTGACCCAGCTGAAATAAAAATCTAACCTGGCAAAGGTCATCTAGCTCTGCTTGGAACACCACCTTTTTTGTATTGTGCCTGAAAAAAGCTTGGTATATTTTGCCACTATGTGAACAAATGAATCAGACCTAAATATGTACTGCAGCTTAACAAAGTAAGAGCAAAAAGGGGAAAGACAGTAACAGGAAACTATGGACATAAAGCTTTGATGCAGAAAACAGGAGCCCCATAAAGCATGAAAGGACAAAAAGTAGGGGCTGAGTTGTGAGACACAACGAGAGTGATGTACTGATCAAACAAAGTGTAAACAGAGAGGTTACTAAACAGACAAAACTTACATGTGGACCAGGCAGTCCCTGTTGTCCAGGAGGCCCTCCCTCTCCTTGTGGACCCTTAACACATAAAAGAATAGGCAAATGAGGATTGAATTCAATTTACAATCCATACACTTGAACCATTTCTTTTATTTGATATTTATTGTATTTTATTTATCCATTGCTGTTTAATTAGTCGTTGATTTATGTATCTTATGCAACTGAACATCACTATGGTGGCATGAGGCACAAAAGTAACTAATATGGTGATTTATATGCTGATCACTTTTGGTCAGCAGGGATACATTCGTCACATCCAAACACATAAACTAAATCCTCTGTGTAATCATCTACTCTAGCTGTTACAACAAACACAAAACTAATCCTTTCTACAGAGAAATGTCTACTCCTTCATGTTCCTTGACGGCAAATGTGCACAGAAAGATTGTGGATTGTGTGTCCACCAATGAGGCTTCATTTGTTAGGAGAAAAACAAATGCCTTTTGTTTTCAGACTCTAATCCATGTTTTTTTTTTTCTTCTGACACAAAACTGACTCAGTGGCCGCAGACAACTTCTAGACCTGTCTGTCTGCACAAACCGTTCCATCTGAAAATCGCAACCTCATTTCCTGATCCCTGGGAAGATTAAGTTATAAAGGAACACTGGTCCATCTGCAGTCATTACTCTGCGTTTGAGTTAAGACCTCCGTGTTTGTCAGGCGATCCTGAAGTTAAAGGTTACCTGGTTGTAATTAATCAAACCAGCTGACGAGGGGTAGCTTAGGTGGTCCTAAAAAATGCAATTTTCTTCCCTCTCATAAAAATAAACAAAACATAAATATTCCCTACCATGTTTCCTTTGGGACCAGGTTGCCCGTCGAGTCCGGGAAGTCCCTGAAGAGATCAGAAGTTTGGCAGAGAACGTCATCACGGAGCAAGAACAACACGATGTGAAGTATCGGGGTGTGAGGGGATAAGCATACTCACGCGCTGTCCTGCAATGCCAGGAGACCCTCTGGGTCCAAGCAAACCTCTAGGACCCTGCGTATGAAGATCGTAACAAGGGAGAAAAAGAATCATAATAGAATAGAGGTTTAGGATAATCCATGATTCATGTGTGCAAACTCATAACAATGTCATAACAATAAAACAACCAGTGGTATAAGGAGGCCTGGGAGTTCACTGCCTTGAATAAGTCGATGAAATACTGACCCCTTGTGGATATGTATGAAAACTACAGGTGCAGGGTAAAACGGAAATTGCCACTCTTTTAAATTTAGACTTAATTAAAGACGAAAAGTCAAAGCAAAAGCTTTAGTCTCACTGCCGAGCTGTGATGAAATGCAGCCCAACTGTTTCTTTATACTGTTTCTTTATACTGTTTAGGGTGTGACAGGGACCCAAATGTTTCTCATGCAACTCTATGGCCCATTTGAAGGGCACTTGGCGGAATATGAGATTTTTTCTCACGGGTATTTGTGGAGCAACACATTTCTCACTTCTATTTCTGATCTTGGCATGCAAAACCGTTGTGTCTTGGCAAGGTCGAGATTAGAAAAGAGTGGGTCATTGCAGACAAGAATGTCATTACAGTTCTGGGAAGAAAGGATGTTTAAGTAACTGTGAAAATAAATGCTTAGGATGGAATGAGTGGGTGAAGAATAACAGTATGGCGGTCAAATATTCATCACTCTTAAATGCTTGCAAAGCTGTTATTTGAGTTTGATTTTAACAACCCGGCCTAGCACACTGTTATCACATGACAGTAAGTGTACTTACGCTATCTCCTGCCACACCTCTCTGTCCAACCTGGCCATCTTCACCCTTTGTTTGACAAGAAAAAAAAAGCAGATTTCCATTTAGAAATGTAAGGGAAATCTAAAAGCAGCTAAGAGAGGTGGAAGTCAGATGGTAACTGGGGTGCTCACTCTGGGACCATCTTCTCCAGGAGGACCTGGAGAGCCCGTGGGGCCATGTTCTCCCTGGAAAAGATCAGAGTCACATCAGTGAAAATTAGGGGTGCTCGCATAAAAGCTGCTAAGCTGAGCTCCTTGAATAAAAAACTAAACAAATCCTAGTTTTCATTTTTTGAAAAATAATATGCAGATCAGAAATCTGGAAAATGACTGATGCTAAAAAAAGAACAACCAGAATGGGCCAAAGGCTCCTTTCATCTACGGTAGGCATAGCCACCACAACTGGCATGGACATACATTATATGGTTTTCACTCTTCATTGTGCTCTATAAGGGCTGGTGTACCTCCGGCGGCCTTGTAATTACTCAGTATAGGATAAGGCTGTCTAGAAATACATCTCTTTGATCTATGCATGTCTTTTTGGGTTTGTGTAGGCCCAAATTCTACAAAGACTATACTCAGCTCTCTCTATTCACCCCCAGGCCTGCTCAAAGACTGTGGTTCTAGAGTTGGCACCACCTCTTGTAACTGGGTCAAACGCCCTGATGAGTTCATCTGGTTCGAAATTCACATGTGTCAACATTAGAGTGTCCATGAGATGGATGAAAGGTGGCCTCTGGTGGCCTCTGAACTACAATCAGCCCTGGTGCTGCTGTAAAGACAGGCTGCAGGGCAGCAGTGACTGTGATCAATGGGCCGAGAAATAACAGAATATGGTAAAACATTTTTAGACACTAGCCCTTTGTAATGTTTGTCCTGTGATTTTGAATGTTTACTAAGCACTAAATTGTCAGTGTTGTACTTACCCTGTGTCCTTTCTCTCCAGGAAGACCAGGGAGGCCATCAAAACCTCGGTCACCCTAAAAAGAAAAAAACATTTTTAACCTCTATGTGAGTGTGTCAACCAGAAGGAATCCTTGAAAACTTTTATAGTGCTTTCTAAGAACACTTGGGGAATCCAGACTGGACTCTACCTTTGCTCCTGACTGTCCTGGCATCCCTCTCGCACCGTCAGCTCCATTGCGACCCTGCAAATTTAATGTTAAATTACATGAGAAATCCCATCAGAGAGCAAGTTTTTATTTGTAAATTTCATTAAGAATAAATAAACATATGATGCATAAAGTTTTCCAACTAGTTTGGGGTGACACAAACATGCCTTTATGAATTCAAACAACATAGTAATAGACAGGAATTGAGTACAGCTGAATTACTTGAAAAAGAGCCATGCTTGGGACTCTTCTGTTTGTGCAGTGATCTCAGAGTTCTTATTATTTTAAGAACTCTACAACAGCATTTTTAAATCTTTGCTTATTCCAACTGTACAACTGGGTCTAAGACAACAGATTAAATAAATGTTAGAAAGAAAAATATTCTTACCCTTTTTCCTGCTTTCCCTGGTAGACCAGCTGGACCCTGAAGACCTCGGGGTCCCTATGGTGAAGGAAAGAATGTTTCCATTTTTTAATGTTGAAAATAAAAATAAAATAGGATTTGTGTCCAATAGACACTGAAATTAAAATTGATTGACCAGCTTACCTGTGGCCCATTGTCCCCACTGTCACCTTTAAGTCCGGGTGCCCCAGGACCTCCCTATACAAAAGAATAAATTAATTTCAGCCTAATATTTTGTCAACTCATCGTTTGGAATGGATAATGAAGCATGTAAAAACTCAGCGGAAATCTTTCAATCTTTCATGAAAATGTACTTGGCTGTTACTTGTATTGTGTCCCTGAAGGTCACTTTAGATAAATGTGTCTGTTAAATGCAGAAATATCAAAAGACCTGCTGAAACTAATTTCCTTTTGCACAAAATCTCTCATGAATCTGTGAGCTGTAAGCCTTATGTGATACATGTGTTGTTTCAGAAAGGCAAATTCACAGTAGGACACAGGTCATGTGGTAGACAGGTGGCTTAGTAAAAGATGCCTTCTGGAATTGTGGGTTCTGGAGATAGTGTGGGAGATTTACAGATAGTCTTTACTAATTGAACAAATGTGTTTGGCATTTTCACTCAGTCGCTCAGTAAGTGTTTCACCCATGTTCAGAAATGTGTCTGAAAATGATAAATGCTATCGAGTGTGTTTATCATCCTGTGTGAAACTGATGATTTTCCATAAAAGTTTATGTAATATGACATGAAAACCTACATACCACAGGACCGGATCTCCCTGCCATGCCCATTGGCCCTGGAGCACCTCTCATTGTTAGCTGTGAATAGGACCAAAACAATCCATAAACAACACTGGAAGTGTATACTCATAGGATACAAGTAAATCGTATATGTATTTATGTATTTACAAATCACAAAGCGCTTCACAAAAAAATACAGGCTATGTAAAGATATGAAAAAAATAATAATGGAAGCTAATGAAAAGCAGAGTTTTTCTTCAGCACCACAAAAAATGTATTCTTTCTTTAAGTTTTAGATGTGGTTTTTCCTTACTTTACTAATAAAAGAAGCCATAAAAGCTTTGTTTATTCATTTATTATTTTATAAAGGCAAAGCAAAATGTAAAGCATTGACTCATGGTATTAAAACGGACATGACTTTGTGAAATTAACTGGTTGAAAATGTTAAAAATCCCCATTAGCCTGTGAGAAATAGACTCTTACAGTATGCCGGGATTACTTTGTTTCTGTTCGCAGTTTACCACTCTGCTCTTTTCTTTTGGTGCAGCTGACCACAGAGTGGGGTAGCCAGAAAAGTTCTCTGGAAATTATTTTCCCAGTGATTGCTCAATGATGACAAACTTTTCTAAATAGGAAATCAATTCAATTCATGCCCTGAAGTGTTATACCCAAGCAGTGAACCACACAAAACAGCATCTGTGCACTGTAGGCATTTTATTCTTTTCTTTTGGCAGGGATAGGGAGAACAAATTAATACAGAAGCACGGAAAGGCATTTTATTGAATATTTTTTCCCTTCTTCAGGCCAAACCTTTACAATGAGAGGCTTGGTATTGAAAGGTGACAATTACATTGCTAAAAAAACAGCACTGGGAGCTCTATAGAGTGTTCTTAAGATGTAAATATTCAGTGTTTGCAACACATAATGATCTCCATGTGTCCGACTAAAGATCACACCTTGCTGTAAGCACTAAAGCTCAATGTGTTTTTAAACAGCGAGATGCTTTTCAGTACCCCTGCCTGGGTGTGAACATCTGCTGCTTCAGCTCTGCATGCTACCTAACACAACACAGGTCCATATTGTCGAATTTCTTTAGTGAATGTAGACCCGTGGATTTGGACTTCTTAGTATTTTTTTTTTTCCTAAGTCACTGCAAATGTGTCTTTAATGAACACTTGAGCACAAGTGTAATTCCAATAATCAAAAGCTGAGATTCACACCCAAGTTCCAGCTGGTTGAAGTTAAACTACAGCTACCGGAGACACAGAATAGGCTGTTCGCTGGATTGAAAATGGAGCCATGTTTTCTGGTGATACTTACTCTAGCCTGAGAGAGGATGGCCTGAGCCTGGGCTTCCTGTGCTGTCACCACAGGTCCTTTGTGTGCCTCACCACCTGCACGGAACTGATGGTCACAAAAAAAAAGGGAAAAAAAAAAGAAGCAGTGAAAATTAAATAAACTTGTCTCGTTTTACTGAGTGTAACATCTAATGCTCACCCTGGTGAGTGTTGTCAAAATTTTCCCATGTACAACTAAACCCATAAAACTATTACCGTGCCACACACACTCACAGATGCAGACCCGCACAAATATGTGTCCCTTTACATTTCAAAGCCTCCGTCAATGGTTCCACTCCATTGAACAGGCTGACATTTACAAGGTAAGTGATTTGTTACCCAAAGAAAATAAGGTTGCGATCCTTGGCCTACTGGTGATGTAGTGAGGTAACTGCACTAACTGTGCACGGGCCTGTGCCTGAGATGAAGGGTGCACGGCATGTGAGGAAAATAAGAAAGACAGCCGGGTGGGCATGTGGAAAACAGCAGGACTTACTGGCAGCATCAGAATGGTACCTGGAGGCCCGGGGACACCGTCTGAACCAGGAATACCAGGACGTCCTGGAGGACCCTGCAGAGGGAGAGTTCAAATTCATTCTCAAAGTTCAAATCTATCATTTCTCGCGGTAAACTTTCAATATAACTGTCACTGAGGGCACAAAACAAACCAAAGTACACTCTTTTAGCTGATGGGATAATATTGTTATTCATCTGTTACCCTTATAAGGATCTCAGCTAACTGAAGTATTAAAAAAAAACATATTAGATTTATTTAGATGCAGAAAACCTCTTTTTAGTTTGGTTAGTCTAAAAAAAGAGATTTTGCTACAATCCTTATTGCTGCATGACAGACTTATTTCAATAGGAGAAATACTAGTAGGAATTCAATTACAGGCAAATATATACATTATGGATATTTCAGGTAATGTAAAAACATTGTGGCCATTTTAAAACATTCTCAGAATATATGTAACAACTGCTGTGGTAATTTTTTTGAGAACTGTTGGAGATATGTCAGACCCACCAAACTCCTGCATAAACTTACTTCATGCTGAATAATGACTGTCAAACACCATAATGTTAGAAGATTTGGAACATGTAAACCAAAAGGCATATCATAAATTAGATGAAGCCTAGACATTGCACACTGCTTCAAGGGAAACCAGGATCCACTTAACAGTCTCATCATGTGCTGCGATCTCATACTGGCTGAAATTGATGCCATGTGTTCTCATTTGCCTTTTCCATGTGGTGGTAAAGTCTCTCCATCCTCTGGGTTGATTGTGAGCATAGCGGCACATAGTGTTAATGGCGTTCGAATGTGGCTGGGAAAGTGTTGTTTGAGTGAAAAGGAGGGATCCTCACAAGAGAGATGAGACGATCAGACACTGAGAGCAGCCGGATACTGCGGAACAGAAAACCGCAAGACTGCAGAATCCAGTCACTTTTAATACCCCTGTCAGTCCTCTGTGAGACAGTTACTCATGGGAGGAAATGAACGGG